CTGGAATGTTTTCATCAAAAACGTTAATTTCTTTTCGACTGAAGAAAGAATGACATGGATATCTTGGATGACATGGGGGTGAGTAAATTATCATGCGCTGTTTGTATTCAGTATATGATTTCTAGTCATTATAATATATATTTATTAGGTTCTGCAGGTCCAGGTTTGCTTTGTGCCCGTGGGAGGTACTGCCCAGCAGGTACACTCAGTGAGATCTTATGCCCACCAGGGACCTTCACCCCTCATCAGGGGGCGCTGAGTAAGATTTCTTTCTCAAAATCTTCAATCTTATTAAAGCACATACAATTAAATCTGCTGTTGGGTTGATATTTGTCTCTGTTTTCATCATAGGTGTAAAGGACTGTTTAAAGTGTCCACCGGGCTTCTATTGTCCAGAAGGAACAAGTGACCCTATGCCTTGTCAGCCAGGCACCTTTAACCCCCTGGAGGGGCAGGATGCTCTGACAGACTGCAGGCCTTGCTACCCGGGCAAATCATGCACACAAGTTGCACTGAAGTTTCCTGATGTGGATTGTATGCCAGGGTTAGTGTCATTCGTATTCGAGAATAAAAAAACAAAAACAGTCTAAGCTTGTTTCTCAGATTTGTCAGGCCAGTCTGGTATGGTTTTTTTTAAATGTTTTGGGCAGGTACTTGATTTAAAGGTCTGATCAGGCTGGGTGCTTTGAAAACAGCTGGTTGAAAGATGTTAAGCAGGATTTAAACAATTTTTTTTCCTAGCCAAAACATCTGTGTGTGTTTTTTCAGGTTTGTGTGTCCACCAGGTTCTACCCGACCAAACGACCCATCCAGTGCTTGCCCCCCCGGTACCCTTAGTAACCGTACAGACCTCACTGACCTCTCCCAGTGCCAGCAGTGTCCTGCACGTTATGCCTGTCTTAGAGGTGCATTCAGAGCTGGATGTCATGTACTTTATACATTTACAAGTTTTATTTACCTTTAATTTTTAACTATTTAACATCTTTCACCTTTACAGGCACGGGTGGAGTCCAGAGGCCTCCGCTCTTTTGCTTTCCTGGACATTACTGTCCTGTAGGCACTATGTTCCCCACTCAGCACAAGTGTCCCACTGGAACCTGGAATGATCAAAGTGGACTGGAGTCGGAGCACGAGTGCCGGCCATGCCCAAAAGGCTGGTACTGTTTAGCGGGAGTGGGCAGTCCATCTGGAAAATGCAACTCTGGGCACTACTGCCCTGAAGGTATTAAAGCTTTGTGAAATATCTGAATGTTCTTCCACTTTGAAGAAAAACATTCATTTTTTTAATTTTGGCCTACAGGAACATCTGAACATTTGATTAATTTCAAAGCCATTAAAAGAATCATTACCATTGAAATTATTCAAATAGCTTTGGAGATATCTTGTGGAATTTCTGAGCAGACCGGATTCTTTTGTTTTGTCTTCTTTTTTTTTTTTTCATGATATGCATTTCATTTTATTTTGTAATGTGAGAGGGTAATGAGCATTGCATTAAAAAAATAAAGTTAATAAAGTTAAAGGACAATAAAATATTTAGCAGAACTTTAGACAAAATATTTAAAATAATAATATTATTAGTACGTTATTACAGGGCTAAGATTGAACCAGGATTCATTATAAATGTTTTATATATATATATATATATATATATATATATACATATATATAAAAGTACACAAACATTTATAATGAAGTATTTAAAATATACTTTATATATATATATATATATATGTGTGTGTGTGTGTGTGTTCCCGATCTTCTCTTAACTTGATAAGTTAAGCATTAAACAAATAAAGCACTAAAAACATTTACCTATGAAAATGTTTTAAACAATATGAAATGCATGATGAAAATATGTGTAAAGTATCACAAAAAATCCACTTGAATAATTCTGTTTATACAGTACATTAACTTAATTTTGCACTAGAACTTGTCACCCTAGGGTCACATGACCATAAACAATTAAATTACTTCCTTGAAGTGACCATCACATGTTTTCTTCTCTAACGGACTTGTGGAAGGGCCCTTCGTTAAGGGATAAAGTTGTTTAGGATGCCCCTGCAAATGGTGTCCCCTTCCCTAAATTGCCTTTATGGGTGCAAAAATCGGAATTTGTAAATCACCCATACTGTATGTATCCTTACAGGAACATTATATGGCTCACAGCACCCATGCCCTCGAGGCACCTACAGCACAAATATAGGAAATGGTGGAAAAGAGGATTGTCTGGTCTGTCCAGAAGGCTATTACTGTAAGGAGGGTACATCCAAACCCACTTCATGTCCACCGTGAGTAACTGTCCCATTTGGCTGAAATAAAGCTGGGTAAGACTTCAATGGATTTGACTTTTCCTGTGTGTCCAGGGCAACATTTCGTCAGATAAAAGGGGGACGGAGAGCAGAAGATTGTTCTGTGTGTCCTGCCGGCTACTTCTGTCCACATCCGGCCACAGTCAGTCCAAAAGTTTGTGGAACAGGAAGTTATTCTGTAAGCCGGACAGCTCATTGTAATTTAATGTATGTTGTCTTACTGTATCAAATAAATGCATTCATTTCATTTATCCATATCCCTGTCTTCTGGTTCTCTGTATTGCTCTTTTTCCTTAGGATGAGGGATCAGAGGAGTGTCTACCATGTTTACCGGGTCACTACTGCAGCGATGAGACCACCAGTGAGGAAGCCATGCTCAGAGTAATGGTCTGCCCTCCTGGTTTCCTCTGCTCACAAGGCATGGATCGAGAACCCCAGCGCTCAGCGGTATTCTGCCCAATCGGCTTTTACTGTCCCGGTGGAAGTGTTGTAAGTATCATTTCAAGGTTCAGAAACATTACAACCATCGTCGATCATCATGTCAGATGATAAATGGAACGAAACATAGCAATTATTTTCTTTTCTATTATTTACGGCCTAATCAGGATCCTAATCCTGTTCCGTGCCCCAAAGGGACCTACAGTCGACAGCCAGGTCTACGTGACCCTTCAGACTGCACAAAGTGTCCGGAGGGAAAATACTGCTACACAGAGAATTCCCAGGAAGATCCCATTATTGAACCAGTATGGCTCCCTTGTAGTTTTTGTATAAACCGTTGAAACCTGTTAGCTGACTATAAAGTCTATTAGTGGGATAATTGCATGATGGCCTGGTCTCACAGACAGGGCTAAGATTGAACCAGGATTAGGCCTTAGTTATATTAAGACATTTAAGTAGCTTTTATAAACTTGCTTTAGAGAAAAACATTACTGGTGTGCATCTTGAGACAAAACTATTGTAATTTTCTTTCAGTTAAGACAGCACAAACATTAATTTTAATCTGGGACTAGGCTTAAGCCTTGTCTGTGAAACTGGGCATTTATGTATTTAATCTTACTTTATTTACCAATGTCTCTGCTGTTGTCTTTCGATGATCCAATTCTGCCATACTAATAAGCAAAAATGACTTTAGTTAAACTTTGCATTTGTGTTTTTGTTTTTGTTACTATTTAAGTAATATTTGCTCGGGTGAAAAGTTCCATTTCCTCAGGCCTGAGGTTTATTCATTTCACTTTTGATGTGAAAGGTTCTTTACATTTGCCAAAAATATTACTTTTTTTGTTTTGTTACTATAAAACAATCAAGCAAACCCAGCCCAGGTGAGAAAAGTACAAAAGTAACATAACAGATTACTTTTCATAAAAAGTTACTACCGCAATTAGTACATTTTTAGGGAGTAGTAGAATATAGTAAATTAATTCAATACATTTAAAGGTAACATATGCCTTTTTTCACACAATGTAATATAAATCTATGGTGTCCCCACAATGTGTCTGTGATATTTCAGCTCAAAATACCCCCCTTTTGGGTGTGAGCAAAAGGAGTTATCTAGAATAATGTCTTTTTTTTTTTTTTTCATAAAATGTAACTGAATTGTGACCATGGCTGTGTAGGTTTCCCATCCTCTTTCATTGTATGGAAAAAGAGTAGGATTTGTGTGAACTATCCCTTTAACGTGTATATTATTCCTATCAGACAGGAAATTGTCCTAATGGTTACTTCTGTCCACTTGGTACCGGACACCCAAACTCGTTTCCATGTCAGACGGGCTTCTTCAGGAATGACTCGTATGGCCATGGAGGAGAAGCTTGTGTGGAATGTCCTCCTGGTCACTACTGTCCTACTCTGGCCACACACTATCCTACAGTCTGTCCACAGGTAAAAGTAAAAGTTGGCATGGTATAACATTTTTACTTTTACTGTCTAATAGATTTTTTTCTTCTGAAATAAATAAATAATGAATAAAAAAATAAATAGACCAAAAGTGACAGTAACATTTACTCTGAAAAACACTTCTAGTTATTTTACTTTGAAACATGCGTGTTCAAAATGGCAACCCTTGTAAGCCCCGTCCAGTCTGAGGAGAAGGTAGCAAGAGAAATGACAATCTCCGATATTTTGAATTGGACTGCAGTACCTATTTCGATACATTACTTCATTCTTACAGACTGCTGTTCTTTTTATTAAAAATATGACATTTTTATTCAATAAAAAATCCTGAAAAAACCCTGGTTTCCACAAAATTTTTAAGCAGTACAACTGTTTTGAACAAATCAGCATATTAGACTGATTCCTAAAGGGTCATGTGACACTGAAGACTGGAGTAATGATGCTGAAAATATAGCTTGAATGTACCTAAAATGCATTTTCTTTACTTTAATATTCAGGGCTTCTACTGTACTGAGGGGAGCTCAGTCCCAGAGCCATGCGAAGAGGGCACGTATGGATCCCGGCCAGCCCTGAGTAAAGCATCACAGTGCACCCCATGTAGTGGTGGGAAATACTGCACAGGACTGGGCAAATCTGAACCCACAGGGGACTGTGAAGGGGGATTCTATTGTAGACAGGGATCTAGAAGTCCTGTAAGATAATTACACAAAAAAAACTTTCATTTTAATATAATTTGCTTTTGATTATTTTAATAATCAAACTTTCTTTTTTTGCCTTGACAGGTTCCTCCTGATGGCCAAAATGGGGGTGTGTGTCCTGCTGGAAGTTTCTGCCCACCGAGCTCAGTTCACCCACAGCCGTGCCCTTCGGGAACATACAGTAACAGCACCGGTCTCCAACATGCAGAGCAGTGTGTCCTCTGTCCTCCAGGGTATGACTGCAAAACTGTGCATGTTGTAAATAAGCATTCAATTCTCTTTCTTAAAGGGATAGTTCAGCCAAAAATCAATTTCTGTCACTATTTACTTTCTCAATTCGTTCCAAACCCGAATGCCTTTTTTTTCTGTGGAACACAAAACAAGAGATTTTGAAGAACGTTGGGAACTGAACAAATATCTTAAAATATCTTCTTTTATGCTTTTTTTGGTGGACTATCCCTTGAAACTATTTTCATAAATCTTGAATTCCAGTTCTTATGGGTTTTTTGTTGCTCTCTCAGTTATTATTGTTTAGGAACAAACTCTACATCCCCTTCTGGTCCGTGTTCTGCGGGGTATTATTGCAGTGGTGGTTCAGCCACACCAGTCCAACATGAAGCTGAGGAGGGACACTACTCTTTGGAAGGAGCTGTGAGGGCTGAACCGTGCCCAATGGGAACTTTCCAACCAGTAAGCCACGGCGATAGAGAATTTAGCCCAAGTAACATTTTAATTTAATTGAGTTTTACTTCTTTTCCATCAGGGAAGAGGCTACAACTCTTGCATTGAGTGCCAATCTGGAAGACTTTGCAACAGGACAGGCCTATCCCAGCAGCCCCTGTGCCCACCTGGACACTTCTGCCCTGCTGGCTCCTTAATTGCTCACCTATGCCCTCCTGTGAGTATGAAGCTCCTTATTCCATCTAATATGTATTTATATAAGTTTTTATAAGATTTTATAATGCTTTTGAAAGTCTTTTATGCTCACCAAGGTTATATTTATTTGAATAAAATACACTAATGTTGTGAAATATTATTAAAATGTAAAATAACTGTTTTCTGTTTTAATACATTTTAATTGTAATTCCTGTGATTTTTTTATTATATGAAGGGTACATACACTGCAAGTTCGGGAGCGGAGGATCTGCAGCACTGCGGCCCATGTGATGCTGGTCAGTACTGCCACTCTCCGGGACTAACTGCTCCTCAAGGACCTTGTGAGCCTGGTTTTTACTGCACTGGTGGATCCCACATTGCCACTCCGGTAACAACATACTGTCTGACACACGTTAATCAGTGGGATTCATATCGAGCTCAATGATCCAATTTTTTTTTCTCTTACAGATTAGCTCCAGGTATGGTGACATATGCCCCATGGGTTATTACTGTCCAGCAGGCACCAGACACCCTCATGAGTACCCCTGTCCTCCTGGAACCTGGAGTAATGCATTGGGGTCCCAGTCTGTGTCTTCCTGTTGGCTCTGCCCCTCTGGATTCTTCTGCAACAGCTCTGGCCTCATTCAACCCACCGGAATATGTGCTCCAGGTACAAAATCATAATCTCATATCATGAGATTCATATTATTGACTTCTGTTTATAAAACTGACTTCTCCACTGTTCTGTCATATAGGGTTTTATTGTGCAGGTGGTGCTAAAACAGCCATGCCTGACGATGGGGCAACAGGAAACAGGTGTCCGGCACGGTATTACTGTCCACAGGGTTGTACATCGCCTCTACACTGCCCTGATGGAACACATTCAAATACCACAGGTATACATTTACTTTATATACTTAAAAGGTATACTTTAATACATTTTCCTAGACCTGAATATATCCAGAGTTTATAACCAGAGATTTGCGAGGCTTAAAACGTCAAACATTCCTTTAATGGTGGTTTTAGAATAATTTGCGAAAGTTGATTGGGATTAATCAATGCGTTTTAAAATCATAGTACATCAAAAGTTGTGTCAAAGGAGCTTTGATTTTTAAAGGTTTGCATCCATCCATGCATGCTTTTTGAGTTAATACTTTCCAGAATTACTTGAGGTCTGTAATTGGTTCCTTTTTTATCTGGTGAGGGTATAATCAGTTTCAGGAAATTATAATACAAAAAATATATGCTGCGTCACAATTCACCTACTTATACTTAAAGTACTGTTTTTGTGAAGAAAAAGGATGTACTTTTGAGTGTGTAGCAGTATAGAGGCAAGCTTTGGTACCACTCTGTCGCTTGGTTACATGCATTCTGTCACAGTTTAAACTGCCCTGTCAACCATCTTGTCACAGTTAAAATCCTCCACATTCAATTTAATTGAATTTCCTACCGTATCAGAGAGAAATGTAGTAACATCTCCCAGTCGTGGGTCTATCATGAGGATGACTCCTAATGTGTTTGCATAATGATACATTTAAAAGATAAAGTTCACAGTTTTGTTGCAGGTGAAATAAAACGTAGACCATCCGGGTATCTTATTTCAACTACGATCTGGGATGAACTCATTTTACTTTCGAATACTATTTAGGAAGGATAATATGCAAATTGGTTATTATGCAAAATGTTATTTACCAGTGCAGTTCAATCTTCCTCACAATGATATTTGTAATCTGATGGTGTATCAAGAATGCAAGATTAGGATTACTGTGCCTCAAACTATAGTACTTTGAAAAAGGTTTGAGTTTTGATATTTGAAGTATGCTTTTTGGGTTATCACAACCCGTTATGTTATCATAGGGTATTCGTTTTGTGCTCTTAGATCCAGAAAACTTTGAATTATATACTTTACCATCGCCAGTGCAGTGCATACTTTTCATCTTTTCTGTTCTTTGCCTTCAACTGGTCTCTGCCAGCTCATACACATGTCAACTCATTCACAATGTCAACTCAAAGCATAATAAAGTAAGTTGTGATTATTATATTGTTAATGTGTCTGAACACAGGTGCTGCAGAATGCAGTGACTGTCCCACTGGATGGCTGTGTCTGGAGGGGGAGGAGCTCCAGTTGTGTCCAGAAGGACATTACTGTCTGGGGGGCACAGTGGAGGACATCCTCCCTTGCCCTCCAGGCACATACAGCCCTAAAGCAGGACAAAGCCAAGTAGAGCAGTGTTTACTGTGCTCAGCTGGTGAGAGCAGTGCCCCTGCTTTACTTACACCTTTGGCAGTTTTAATAGCATTGGTGTAGTATTATGTTCATCATACACACCTATCATTTTAAGGAATGTACTGTGAAGATTGGGGACTAGTTGAACCTACTGGTCCCTGCCAGGCTGGGTATTTTTGCCTCACAGGTAATAATTAGTGACCTCATTCTGTTGATTTGAATCATAGCATCTTAGCAGTTGTGTTTATGGTTATGGTTCTCTTGACTTTTGCAGGCATAAACTTCAAGAATCCTGATTCAAATATTAGCACAGGGGTGGGTGGGCCGTGTCCTGTGGGTCATTACTGTCCTGAGGGCACCAGCCTCCCTTTACCATGCCCACTTGGCACCTTTTCAAACAGGTACTATAATACTGGGTCAAATGATCATACCATACCAATATGATGAATGAACATAAACAAATTCTTTTTTTTTTTTGTCTTTGTAGTCTTTATGCCACTAAGAAATCGGGGTGTACTGCGTGTCCTGCTGGGCAGTTTTGCGGTTCGGTGGGCTTGAGTAGACCATCTGGACCCTGCCGAGAGGGGTTCTACTGCCCTGCCACGGCATCGTCATCCACTGGTGCGACCATCCAACCATTTTTGTTAATTTGATAGCGTCATTAGCTCATTGTCTGTTTGTATTCTACTATTGACTGTGGTGTTATGGTTGGTACAGGTTCTGATTCTGAAGGTGGTCTCTGTCCTCAAGCGCACTTCTGCCCCACTGGCAGTGCCGTGCCTGTTCCCTGCCCTGCGGGCACTTATACCAACCTGACAGGACAGATTAAGTGCAGTCCCTGCCACGCTGGATACTATTGCCCAGAGAGTACCAGCAAATATACTCTGTACCCCTGCCCTCCTGGATTCTACTGCCCTGATGGTAAGAGACAGAATCATATATAAACATATGCTTACAATACAAAAAAAGTTGATAGATACCTTAATTGTTAACAATAAATAATCAATTTCTTGTTAATTTTATTTTTTTATTATATATACAGTACATATATATATTGCCAAAAGATGCTTGTATATCTACACCAATGTTAAACAAATTGTGGTCAGTAAGATTTAAACCTAATTAATACTTTCAGTAGAGTATTAGTAAAGACATTTATAATGTTACAAAATATTTCTATTTCAAATAAATGCTATTCTTACGACCTTTCTATTCATCAAAGAGTCCTGAAAAATATATTATGGGTTCCACAAAAATATTAAGCAGTGCAACTGTTTTCAACAGTGATAACAATAATAAATTCAGCATATTAGAATGAACTCTTAAGGATCATGTGACACTGAACACTGAGTAATAGCACACTATTAGTAATGATGCTGAAAATTCAACTTTCCTGTCACAGGAATAAATGACATATTCAAATATATTCAAATAGAAAACAGTTATTTTAAATTTTAATAATTTTTAACAACATTAATGTTTTAACTGTATTTTGATCAAATAAATGCAGCCTTGGTCCGCATAGGAAACTTTCAAAAACGTTCTAACAGTAGTGTATTTGTACATTAAAACACTTAATATACTGCTTCAGTGAATTAAGTGTTTCAATTTGTACATTAAAACACTTATTATACTGCTTCAGTGACAAAAGTACTGCTACTTTTGCCTAGTGAAGCTTCACTAGACAAAATTCACTTTTTATTAGAGAAACCACAACTCAGTATCATGCAGTGCTGGTCTTTGTTTACAGGAACAAAACATGCCACCCAGTTCCCGTGCCCACGAGGGTATTACAACCCTGAGCCGATGACCCACAGCCTGGACAGCTGCTTACCCTGTCCTCCTGGCCACTACTGTGAGAAAGAGCGCCTGTCCGCTGTGTCTGGGAAATGTAAAGCTGGTTAGTACATCACCTGAATTACCTGATTATTTTTAACTGAATATTGAACTCAACCAATGACTTCATCACACAGGATGGTTCTGTGTATCTGCTGCCTGGAACGCACAGCCCTTTGACCTGGACAACTACACTAATGCTAACTGCCTATGCCCTGCATCCTCCACTGGGGGCAGATGCCAGGAGGGGTTTTACTGTCCATCAGGGACCTCTGAGCCTCAACCTTGCCCTCCAGGAGCTTTCTGCAATGCAACCGGTGCGTAATCACCAGATAAAAAGCAATGAATTCCCTGTGTGCTTTTGCAAAACAGTTTGCTCATAACCTGACCTTCTGAAACAGGTCTAGCCCTGCCGAGTGGGCCGTGCTCTCCGGGGTATTACTGCACGAGAGAAGCCACTTCCTCCAGGCCTATAGATGGCATTACAGGCAACATCTGCCCTCCAGGCACTTACTGTGGTAAATATTGGATGGATTTATGTCACTTTTCAGCAAACCAGCCTTTCCAGAATACATTTTAGTTACGAATATCTATCGTTTTCCCCAGACGAGGGCTCCAGTGCACCACAGCCATGTCCAGCAGGGACTTTCTCCTCAGCAGCAGGCCTTGTTAGCAAGGACAAGTGTCAGGCCTGTAGAGCAGGATACTACTGTGCTACCGTGGGCCTTCAGGCTCCTACTGCCCCCTGCAGGGAGGGTGAGAAAACCTATCACTGCCCTAAACTTAGACTAGTCAAGTGCAGTTTATATAATTTATCCATCGTCTTGTCCTTGTCCTTATTCGGTAGGTTACTGGTGCCCTCCTGGTCAGACAGATGACCTAGCTCTGCCATGTCTGGTCGGTCATTACTGTCCCCCAGGAAGCTCTGTCCCAATTTTTTGTCCCACTGGGACATATCAGGACAAGCAGAAGCAGGCAAACTGTACAATCTGTGAATCAGGCAAGCTGCAGTTATCCAAAGCAAACTGTGACACACTCCCACATTTCTATTTCTGAAATTCACATTGAAGCTTGTATCCTTTTTTTTTCATTTTTCTCCTACACCAGGTTTTTATTGCGATGCGACATTTGGGGCTGTAAATATGTCGGTCCTCCAGCCTTGTCCAAAGGGACATTACTGTCCTGAAGGAACTGGTATTGCCAAACAATTTCCATGCCCTATCGGCACTTATAACCCCCGTGAGCTCATGGACAGTCAAAGTGACTGTCTGTTGTGTCCGTCAGGACACTATTGTCCAGATGTTGGACTTGAAGAACCTACAGGTGAGACTTCAGTCAAAAAAAGCCTTTCAGTAAAAATTCTGAAACAAATGCCCCATATTCTTGCATTACAAGCCCTGTGTTCAAATGCTTATTTGTAGGGCTGTGTTTGGCTGGTTTCTGGTGCAGAGAGGGCTCCTATTCACGCAGTCCTATGGATGGTTCTACAGGGGCCCCATGCCCAGCTGGTCACTACTGTCCTAAAGGTGATAAAATAAAACACTAGAAACTAAAATTAATTATGTTAAATTCTATAAGTAAATTCTACACCATAATGTCGGACGTAACTGTCGTAACTGTGCCTCTGGGCGACCCGGGTTCGAATCTGACTCAAGGTCCTTTGCTAATCCCATTCCTCTCTCTTCACCCAAAAGCTTTCCTGTCAATCTCCACTATCCTGTCTGCAAAAAAAAAAAAAAAAAAATGTTAACTGAAATGTCACAAAACACAAACTGATGTGATTTCATTCATATAAAAGTGTTTTTTAAAGGTCTCCCTGTGTTACTATAGGCACTTCCAGTCCTATGCCCTGTCTGGTGGGAACGTGGTCTAATAGTACAGGACTAAGTAGTGCTGAGGAGTGTCAGTCATGCCCTGGAGGGTTTTACTGTGCCTCTACCGGTCTGATAGAGCCCAGTGGACTCTGCTCAGAAGGGTATGTGCAAAACAATATACATAGTACAATTGCAACACAGATGCCCAGTTTAACCTATGGTGTCATATGTCCCCAAAAGGTTTTATTGTGCTGAGAAAGCTGAGATTCCCACTCCCACTGATGGGGTCTCCGGCCACATCTGCCCAGTGGATCACTACTGTCCTCCAGGAACCACTCACCCTGTTCCATGTGATCCTGGGACTTTTGTAACCGTCACTCAAGCCTCCCAGTGCTGGCCCTGCACAGCTGGCTGGTACTGTGTGGATGGAGCCCGGCTGCTGTGCCCAGCTGGTTGGTGCTTTGGTCTCTCGTTGGCTATGTTTGGAATGGAGTACTAGTGTACTGCTTACTGGATGCTGAACAGTATATACTGCCTACAGTTTAACAAAAGTACGTGAAACAGTGTGCATTATGCAACTGTTCATGTTTTAAACAGTAGTTTGCTACATTTCCGTCCTCATCACATTGCTTAATTCTTTGCGAGGCATCCAGTTATCAATTTGTAAATAATAATTGTCATTGTGCATTAATGTTTTATGTTAAAATAATGATTAATATAAATCTGTCTCTCTCTATAAAGCTTCTATTTCTTTCAGTTCCAGTTCTGCTCGTATACAATATATTTACTATATTATACACTATACTATTTACATCAGATATGGTTATAATTATTATATATTATATATTTATTATATATTATATACTATATTATATATAGTATGGTAGTATGCTATTCCGAACATATCTATTTTATGTTGCTGCTAGAATAGTAGTGAAAGTAGTGTCAATAGGTTACTTCCTAAGTAAATGAAATTGACTCAATTAAATGATTTACTTCCTAAGTCTAAGTCCAAGAAACTCAATTAATTTGTAAACAGCACCACTCAGTGGAGAGAGACAATACACAAACAAGCTGACTGATTCCATCCAAATCCAGCAATCATATTTAAGCTGTTATCTTATGTCTGCCTGTAGGTTTCTATTGTCCTGAAGGCACAGGGTATGACTGGAGGCCTTGTCCAGCAGGGACATACAGTCCTGACTCTGGTTTGAGTTCCCTCTCTGAGTGTAGGGAATGTGATGGAGGACACTACTGCCCTCTTCTGAACTCCACCTCTGTCACAGGAGAATGCTCTGAGGGATATTACTGCGTGCATGGGAACATCTCACCTCGACCTCAAACGCAGTCTGCAGGTAGCTGGGTTAACATCCACAGATTTGCAGAATTTACTGTACATAACAAATTCTGAATGAAAGATGTGTTTTAGGATACATTTTTTTAAATAGTTAAATATATAAAAATAAAGGTCTGCAAACAGTTTTTGAAAAAGCAACATCAAATTGTTTTTGCCTTACCTGAATGCTTTATAAATATATATAAAATAGAATTTAATAATGTTTTTTTTTTTTTTTTCAAGGAGCAGGAGGACCTTGTCCTGTGGGTCACTTTTGCCCACAAGGCACCACTCAACCTCATCCTTGTCCAGAGGGCACTTACAGTAACAAAACCAAACTGATCAAAGTGGTAAGAGGAATTTCTCTATCGATAACCGCATGACCACACACGTCCCATTGTCCTGTTGCATCTGTAAGGACCATGGATACCCTTATCTTATAGGAAGAATGTTTGCCATGTTCTCCTGGTCATTATTGTGACATATCTGGGCTGACTTCACCCAGCGGAGAATGCTGGGAAGGTTTTTACTGCACACAGGGAGCCGTACTCCCCAACAGCCCAATCAACGATCACAGAGGAGGACCGTGTCCGACAGGTAAATGACAGATCTCCAATTCAGGGCAGATTAAAAACGCCCACCTTCCCCTCACACCGGCCCACCTCATCCTGTTTTCCGCTCCCGCGCAGGTTATTTTTGCTCTAGAGGCTCCAGTGCTCCTCAGATCTGTCCAGAAGGATCCATCAGCAGTAGAGAGCGACAGGACAGCTGCAGCCTGTGTCCCCAGGGGTAGATACACTTATACATATACAAAAATGGTTAACATTTAAAGTTGAAGTGTATCTGTTTTATTTTTTTATTTTTTTACGTTAAATTACTTTCTACTATCCCAGATTGTGCCGAGCCATCAGCCCACATGGTTGTATTTTTCTCCAACGTTTTTATTTCAGCTGTGTTATCCGAAATGCTTCATGGGATTGCAGTTCTTTCCTTTATTAAACCCATTAAGTGCATAGTCTTGTACATTTGTCTTTTTGTCTGGTTTTTATATATTTTATTGCTTCAAATCTAAGTTTGTTATGTTGTGAATGACCTTGTAGCTGGTTGATCTGGTTCATGGCTTATAACTCTTTAATGAAGACATTTTTTTAAATCCCTATGGGGAAAATGAATCAAGGCCACTGGAAAAGCAAAGTTGCACTGTTGTGAGTTTTGGCCGGGGCTATTTGTTTGATCACCCAATAGCAGACAGTGGAGTGTTCATGAAGCCTGCCATTAATTTTGCATTCTGTTTGGTGGAGCAAGTGCAGCAAAAATGACATACTTTACAATCAAGTCATTCATTGTAAAGTAAATATCTCTTTTCACTTACAGTTATTACTGTCCTGCCTCTGGTTCCTCTTCTGAACGCATTGAATGCCCAGTAGGCCATTATTGCCCTAAGGGGACCCATCTACAAAATCAGCACCCCTGTCCAGCAGGGACTATTAACCCACATACAAGGATGACCAGCCGTGAAGACTGTTTTCCCTGCCCTCCAGGTACAATTTCGACTGCATTCCTATTGAGTCATTCCTCAGAGTTACACATCTCTTATTCTCAGAGGGTCACGCTGCCCTATTTCTTCACAGTATTTGCGTAATATCATTTTCAGTTGCAGCCCCTTGTGTTTCTGTCAAATCTCAGCTGTGAAATTTCCTACAAACTTTCCACCCGGCAGGTTTCTTCTGCAAGTCTCCTGGACAGAGTGCTGTGTCTGGACCGTGTGTGGCTGGACACTTTTGTCTCTCAGGAGCTGTGTCCCCCACACCCGTGGATGGAGGGACAGGTGATAAATGTCCTCAAGGACACTACTGTCCCCTAGGGTCCTCATTCCCTGAGCCTTGTCCACCAGGCCGCTATAGCAACAGCAGCCAGAACACTAAGCTGTCTGACTGTCTGCCCTGCCCTCCAGGTCAGTGCTCCTCTTTTGGAGACTTCAGACTTCTTTTTTGATCCCTTCGTTTCTACTGATTTGTGGACATTTTCTTTGTAGGATCTGCTTGTTCCAGTAGGGGTCTCTCCTCCCCTTCTGATGTGTGCCAGATAGGATACTACTGCCCACATGGTCAAAATTCCAGCCAGCCTGCCGACTACATCTGCTCACCTGGACATATGTGTCCAGCTGGCACAGCTAACCAGATCCCCTGCCCACTTGGGACTTTCCAGAGCCTCCTGGGGCAGGTCAGTTGAGAGAGTGTCAGGACTGTTTAACATTAAAAGGTTTTTCTCTTTAGCATTACCATTAGTGTTGTGATTAAGATAAAGTAAATCTAAGTTGAAAAAGTAAAATTACTACAACTAAAACTAAATTGAAAATAAATTAAAGCTAAAAAGAAATGACAAAAACATATAAAATTGCTGAAACAAATTAAAATCAAAACTAAAAAAATATAAAAATAAAAGCTAACTCAAACTATTAATAAACACGATAATAGTATTTAAATAATACTAAAGCAAAACTGATTTCCAACACATCTTAAATGATGTATTTTGTTTAACAGCATTTTATAGTGGAAATTATGTTTATGTAAAATTAAAATGAGCAATGTTTGAGTAAAATTATAGACTGGTTATTTATATTGCAAAATTTCTAGCATGGTATATAGTGTTGGTCAGAATTATTTGCCCCCTTTGGTAAATATGATCAAAGATGGCTGTAAAAAATAAATCTGCATTGTTTATCATCTCCAAAACACATTGGGAACAATTATTTACCCCTTTGTATTAAATACTTTTTGCAACCTCCTTTTGCCAAGATAACTGCTCTTTCTCCTATAATGCCTGATGAGTTTGAAGAACACCTGACAAGAGATCAGAGACCATTCCTCCATACAGAATCTCTCCAGATCCTTCAGAATCCCAGCTTCTTCTCTTCAGTTCAGCCCACTCATTTTCCATGGGGTTCAGGTCAGGGACTGGGATGGCCATTGCAGATGCTTGGTTTTTTTGCTCAGTGACCCATTTTTGTTTTGATCCAAACATGGCCTAGCTTTTTAATGTGATCTTAATATAACAAAGCTTAAAAAAATATACTTTATCTACATCACATCCTTAGGCAGAATGTTCTGTGTGTCCGGCTGGATATTTTTGTGCTGGTTCAGACACAGTAACAGAAGGAACCTCTATACCTGTGCCATGTCCTAGGGGATATTACTGCCCTGCAGGTAATTACAAAATTACTCCGAGTACATGATGAGTACACGTGAACCCTTTTTTACTCTATTTTGTATTTTGAACAGGCTCAGAGTCCGGAGTGAGCTTCCCTTGCCCTGTGGGCACTTTTAATGGCCAGTTAGGCCTGTCCAGGAAGGATCAGTGTGTCCCCTGCCCCCCTGGTAAATACTGCAGCTCGTCTGGCCTGGAGACCCCTACGGGCAACTGTTCTCCAGGGTGAGTTTATTCCACTCAAATGTCCGGTTGAATAATATAGGCCTGTTTTCTTATGCTAATGTCTTGGATTTTGCAGTTATGTTTGCAACCTGGGTGCCTCGCTCTCAGAGCCAGTTGGAGATTCCACGGGAGGAAGATGCGCAGCTGGTTTCTATTGCCCACCGGGTGCCAGCCATATGGAGCCCTGTCCTCTGGGCACATTTGGCTCATTAGAAGGTCTTATTCCAGCATATGTAGCATGCTTGCACTGTTCAATATGGATGAATGGAACTAACTTTGTGGGTGTTTGAATAGGAGCAGCATCTGTAGTGGTGTGTCAGTTGTGCACACCAGGACATTACTGTGCAGAACCAGGGCTGAGTTCACCCTCTGGGCCCTGTAGTCCTGGATACTACTGTATTCAAGGATCACACACCCCTATGCCTCAGTACTACAACAACACAGGTCATTTTCTCCACTTACCGCAGTGTTTGATCATGGTAATGAGTCTAATCATTGCAACGGTAATTAGTTGAATTTGTTTCAGATGGTGAAGATCCTGGGGCTTGTACAGTGGAGGATGTTCGTTCTCAGATTCAGTTCATTGGGGATCTCTGTCCTGCAGGGCACTACTGCCCGATTGGCAGCGCACGACCAGAAGCCTGCCCACCAGGTAGAGTTTGAGCTAAATATGAAAACTCTGACATCATTAAATGATTATCTCTTTCTGTGGGACAAAAAGGAGACGTTTAACATAATGTTTACGCTGCTCCTTTTCATACAATACTGGAAAGGATATAGTGACGAGGAGTTTTCAAGCTCTAAAATGGAGAATTTTCTCAGAGAATTACCTCGATTTTGGTCTGTTCCTCACACAATGCAATCATATAGTCTCAGAGGACTTGGAATATAACACACACATAGTATGTGCTAGTTTTATTGTGCTTTTTTGGAACTTTTTGGCTGCTGACCGCAATATGCTTTCATGCTTTCATATTCATTTTCATATGCATCCTTTCTAAGTAAAATGATTGATTTGCTTGATCAAAATGGACAGTTAACAGATGTATAATGTTGAAAAAGATTCTATTTCTGTTTCAAATAAATGCTGTTCTCTGAGCTTTCTATTCATCAGAGAATCCTGAAAAAAATAATTCAAGGTTTCCACAAAAATATGCAATCGTTTCAACATCGCCATTTATAAGAAATGCACCAATTTAGCATATTAGAAAAACATTTGGAGGATCATGTGACACTGAAGAATAAAATAATGGCTGCTGAAAAAAAAAATTCAGCTTTGATATGACAGAAATAAATATTTTAAAATATATTGCAATAAAAACAGTTATTTCAAATTGTAAAAATATTTCACAATGTTTCGTTTTTTTTTTTTATTAGATTTTTGATCAAATAAATACAGCCTTGGGGAGCACAAGAGACTTATTTCAAAAATATAAAAAACATTTCACGCCAGTAGTGTAATTCAAAACATCTCCTTTTGTTTCCACTGAAAAAAGAGCAATGAACTATGTAGCAAATAATGTAATGTTTCTAAGAAACGTTACTATGTCACCTCCAGTTTGATTTACAGAAGAATAATCAACATCCAACTTGACAGTTTTGTGCTAGTATCCCTCTAATTGCGTTTAATCAAATGATCTCTGATTGTTCTATATTATAGGTTCATTCCTGGGCCAGCGTGGTGGTGTGTCTGAGACAGAGTGTCATCCATGTACCCCTGGATTCTACTGTCCAGACTGGGGTCAGAGCTCTGCAGAGCTCCGCTGTCCTGAGGGCAGCTTCTGTCCGGCAGGTTCTGTAACAGGACATCAACCTGGTAGGAGGCAACACTGACGAAGCAGAAATCCATATGTCCTCTAGGCATCAGTTAAACTGGGGTACTGGATATACAGAGTGCTGAGCAACTTTAATAAATAAAGAGAGACAGCGTCTGCTTCCTCCTTCCATTTATCTTATTGACTCGCCACAGCATCTCTACAGGGTTGCCCTAGTGCTGTCTGAATTATTTAGTACCGTTGCCATAATATGTCTAGACATCGTTTATTTTTATACTGCCAGTGTTTACCTTTATGATCTGTCTGTTCAGACCGTCAGTGTCCGTCTGGTCACGCATGTCCATATGGCAGTGTCAAGCCTGCCATCTGTTCGCCTGGTACTTATCAGCCTCTGCCATCCCAGCCTTCCTATCAACCATGCCCACCAGGTAAATATTATATGGCTGAGTCTTTCTAAGCCTCTTAAGGAATGTCTGGGTCATATTTCACTCTAATATCACAAAGAAAACAAATAAGTAAATGTATTTTTATTAAGAAAATACATTTATAATTTGCCTTGACTAATCCATGCATTATTTTTAGGATAATTACACATGGTTTACCATACATTTCTATAGTTACTCTCTGACTATCCTGATGTTTTATGTTACTGCAGGGTATTTTTTTTTTACATTACAGTGAAACAATACTGTAACACAAAATTGAAATAAGCACATTTTTTTTTTTTTTTAAATCTTAATGGTTCTCAAAAAGGGCTTAATTTTCTTCAAGCTAAATTTAATAAAAAAGAAGAAATACATTTTGAAATAAGAAAATTAGTAAATAAAATGATTTGAATAGATTGTTTTATTTAAATATGACATTGATATTTTGTTGTTGTTGTTGTTGTCAGATTCCCTGTATGTCAAGAAATGGAAGCACAGAAAAGCCATCATTTAATGTTTTACATTTACCATTCTCATTATCAATTATGATTTTCATTATAATAATACAGCATTTTTTTTTCACATTACAGTAAAAAATTTTGATCTGTATGGTCCTAAAAATAAGTTTCAGAATTTAGATTCACGCGTGAAATATGACCTAGACATTTTCCTGACAAGTTTCTTGACTTTCATGAAAAAATCTGGGTCATATATATTTCTCCCCAAATTCATAAGAAAAATTGAAAAATGTATTTCACAAAGGAAATTAAGTATTTACATTATTTTCAGGACAATTGTAACCTCCCAATTTTCCCTACCATGATGTTTTTCTTTAAATTCAAATCAGCATTTGTATTTTTAAAGAAATGTAATGCTTTTTTTTAATTATTCAACCAAGTTACTGTACTTCATTTTATTTTTGATACTGTATTTTATTTTTTATTATTATCATTTTTTTTATTCTAAACTGTTTTAATTATTCTGATTTCTTTTGATTATTTTAATTTCTTCCATGTAAAGCACTTTGAATTGCCACTGTGTATGAAATGTGCTATATAAATAAACTTGCCTTGCCTTGCCTTGCCAAGCGAATTGTATTATTTTTACAGTATTAAATTCTTTTTCTTCTACAAGGTTTCTACTGTATGGAGGGTTGCACCACCCCGCTTCCCTGCCCTCCGGGCACTGTGAATATAATTGAGGGGTTGCAATCACAGCTGGATTGCTCTCCATGTCCTCCTGGATTCTACTGCAACACCAGCGCACTAATCATCCCCTCTGGACCCTGCTCCGCAGGTCAGTGTCACAGAGATGACCATTACAATCTGTTCTGGTGGTGTATCTCTTAATTTCACATCTGGTTCTCCCTCCATAAAAGGTCATTTCTGCTCATCTGGGGCCACAGAGCCTGCCCCAGTCTCTCAGATGTATGGAGATATATGTCCGGCAGGATATTACTGCCCTGAGCAGAGCAGTGCTCCGTTACCCTGTCCTGTTGGTTTTATTCTCCAGGACAAAGGGGCCACCTCCTCTAATGACTGCTCCCCTTGCCCTCCAAGAAGATATTGCACTGCACCAGGCTCCTCTCAGCCATCAGGTTGGCAGATAATAAATATTACACTGCAAACCACAAAATAATTCAGCTGAATGATGATAAATGATGCATATATTATTTTTGCCCTTCTGCAGGGTTTTGCGCTCCAGGTCATTATTGCGTTGGTGGTGCAGATACTGCCATACCTCATGCCACATTTTCGCAGAGGACCTGTTTTTGTGACCTCATATCTTTATCCCACCTCCAAAAGTATGATCTTTGCCTTCTGAAGCACAACATTACCTGTTCAATTCACATTCTAGGTAGGATTCTTGGTATGGTACTAAATCATTTATATGGTAACGAATGAGGCTGTTAAAACTGACTGACACTTTTTCAAGGAGATGGTGCCGGAGTCTGGGATGACCTGGATCCCAGACCTCTATTCGATATATCCGAGTCTGAGGGTTATTCAGAATTACGCCTACAAATCACAGAATCGTGTACTGGTTTCAAAGGGGACCTGTGTCCTACAGGTACACAATGCACACTGATATATTTGTTAATAAAAGTCTTCTTTAACATTGCATTAAAAGGATTGTTCACCCAAAAAAAATGTTAATGGTTAATGTCATTGCAAACTTTTTTCGGAACACCAAAGGAAGTATTTCAAATAATTTACCGGTCAGTCTTTTCTATGCGTCAATGAACTAGAACTGGAGCTTAAAATGATGCAAATGTACCAGAAATTCATCGTAAATGTAGTTTTTATGACTTGTGCACAATATTCCATATCTTCTGATGTCATATTATTTTTTTGGGTGAGCAACTGACCACAAAGTTTGCCATTATTCACTAAAAAAAAACTTTGCTCATGAAAGAGTAATGTTGTTTGATTTATTAACAATTCAGACCAGTTGTGAACCCATTCATTGAAAAGTTCTGACTCAAATCACTATTTTAAAGTATATCAAGACGGATCTTTTTTTTTTTTTTTTATGGTGAACTGTCTCTTTAAATCGGCCATCTCTATCTGTATAAGATCATGATGATTGTGTTCTGATGGCTAAAGCTCAATGAATCATTTCTACAGGGTCTTATTGCCCAGTGGGTTCGTCTCTTCCCCAGCCCTGTGATTCGGGCTCTTATTGTAATCAGACTGGCCTGCACACTCCTGTAGGCCTCTGTTTGGCTGGATTCTTCTGCCCCACAGGATCCTCAAATCCTAGTGCTGTGCTTTGTCCTCCTGGACACTACTGTCCCCGAGGCACACCGCTACCCCTGCCCTGTCCACAAAGCACAATGTGTAGTAAGTGAAGCTAGAAGATTAATGAACATTTTCATTATTTTGCAAGATGTATCTTCAATTCAACTTCAGTATTTACCTGCATACGTAGATGTTGTTTGATGTCCCGTCTTTATTGCCTATTAACATTTTACCTGCCATTAACCAATTAAAAAGCTTTTAAAGCACAGCGCCTATTTTTAAGTAGGACAAGTCATTTTTCTGGTTTGAACTCTTCTGGAAGTTTTATGGTTTTATTATTTAATACTCAACAGGAACTGCTGGTGCATCCAGTGCAGAAGATTGCCTTGAATGTCCACCGGGATATTTCTGTGAGCGAAGAGGCCTAACTGAGCCCTCTGGTCTGTGCTCTGAGGGCTATTACTGCCCTGGAGGACAGAATACATCCAGACCACCTGAGTATGTGTGTAGTGCAGGCCACTTCTGTGAAAGGGTAAGTGGAAAACTCACCATATTCACTAGTGAATTGATTGATTGACAAACATTTTTTATTTGTATATTATATAAAATTACATATAAAATGTTTATATTTTATATATAAATAATATAATAATAATAATATAATAAATAATATATATAAAATAATATATTATTATATAAAATATTAATAATAATTCAAGAATAAAATGCACTTCTTGGGTCTTGTTTAGCCTGAAAAATTAATTAATATTTAATTTATAACAAGTATATACCTTTAAAAGTCAAAGTTATACTGTATGGTGTACAAATTCAAATTTATATTTATATATATTTATACCTTTTCTTTTTTAAATATAAATTATTTAATAAAATATTAGGTTAAGTGATTATGCCTTTTTATTGGGTTACTGTAGTATTTGAAGTCTTTTTCATGACTGAAATGTTACATTTTGAGTGATTCAAACTCTGTTAAAGTGTAAAAAAAGAAAAGAAAAGCATTTGAACAAAATTGAATTGGCATGAATTTAATATAATGACTTATATTTGACTGTTAATTTAAATCCTATTTTTTTTATTCATTTAAATATCTTAAAATGGCAGTGCGACTTTTACAAAGCATACTCATGTTGTTACCGCTCTAACAGGGCAGCCTCATGGAGATGCCATGTTTCCCAGGTAGCTTTCAGCCCAGTCTTGGCCAGAATAGATGTGAACTGTGCCCTGCCTCCTTTTTCTGCCCTGAGAACGGTACAAATAAAATTTCAATAAATGAACAGGTGAAATATATTCCTTTGCTTAAGGATGTGTTTCTTGTACTAGGTATGACACACCCATTCCCGTGTCAGCCTGGATTTTATTGTCCGATCGGAGCATCCAGTCAACATCCATGTCCTCCAGGCAGTTATGGGAACCGGTCTGGATTGGCCGAGTCTTCTGAATGCTCTCAATGTGACCCTGGGACCTATTGTATTGGGTCAGGTATGACACGTGAACAATGATTATTTTCCCTAGAGAACATGCTAATCCTGCTTGGTCTTATACTGTATGTTGAGCTGATATTTGTTTGTTTGTCCAGGAGATGTGTCACCAACTGGCCCTTGCAGTGCTGGATTCTTGTGTTTTGGAGGAGCCGTCACTCCCATCCCAAATGATAATGAGACTGGAATACCATGTCCATCTGGATCGTATTGTCCAGCCGGAAGTTTTGCTGCAATACCTTGTCCCAAGGGCACATTTAGGTACCAGTGTGACACATAATAGTACAAAACAACCTTTTACGTTATAAAATATTGTTTTTAAATCAATTTGAAAAATCTCATTCTATTAAATAAAATAAAATAAATTGTTTCACAGCAATCTGCATCAACTATCCAACATAAGTCAGTGCCAAAACTGTACAGCCGGGTTTTATTGCTCAGAACCAAGCCTGACCTCAATCAGTGGACCCTGCTTATCAGGTTAGAATACAAATCTACGACAGACATTTCTAAGCCTTTACAGGACTTCTTGTAGATTCTTATTAATATGACATGTTGTATTCTCACAGGGTTTTACTGCAGTGAGGGATCTCCGACTCCAGCTCCTCTGTCAGCCGTTTATGGCGATATTTGTCCTCCTGGTCACTATTGTGAGATTGGTAGCGCTGTGCCAACTCCCTGTCCAGTGGGCACCCAGCGCTCTGATAGCGGGGGAAAGGGCACAGATGATTGCATGCCTTGCCCTGGAGGTACTGTAATACTCTATTTTGGAGATATACTGTCTGCTCTGTGACCTCAAGGTAATGCTCCATTGACTTTGTAGGGCTCCATTTCAGTGTAGTTTCTACACTTTTTAGAAGAGGTCAAATATAAAAGTGATTGTTGTCATTGGTCTTTTTATATGTTGTTGTTTGATCGCAGGTCAGTTTCAGGATCAGAGGGGGCAGAGCGAGTGTAAGCTCTGTCCTCCTGGTTTCCACTGCATCAATCTCACAAGCGGCTCTACGGGGGTCAGCACTCCTTTGGTCTGTCCTGAAGGCTTTTACTGCCCCAATGAGACTCAGCCTAGAAACCCAGTTCCATGCCCCAAAGGCTCATACAGTGATTCTTTAGGCCTCATTTCAGCAGGTGATATATTCTCTATTCTACAGCAATAAGTGAGGAACATTATTACATGCATTTTTCCATTTCTGTCATGCTTATTTTATATATGTTTTTGTATAATTTCAGAACAATGCCTGGTGTGCCCTATGGGATATTTCTGCGGTTCAGATGGTCTCTCCAAGCCCTCTGGGCCCTGTGCCCCTGGATTCCTCTGTTTTGTGCAAGCAACAGTTCCCAACCCCACTGACAACAGCACTGGCACTATGTGTCCACCTGGGGCATACTGCCTTCTGGGAATAAGAGCAGGTTTTTATCAATATTTTAAAAGAAAACCTATTATGACCCTTTTCACAAGATGTAAAATATGTCTCTGATATCCCCAGAGTGTGTGTGTGAAGTTTTAGCTCAAAATACCCAACAGATACTTTTTTACAGCATGTTTAAATTGTCACATTTTGGGGCTCAGAAAAATGCACCGTTTTAGTGTGTATCCCTTTAAATGCAAATGAGCAGCTCCTGCCGGCACAGAGGACACAACAGAAGCTTTCAGCAGCGGTGTTCATTTTCATTTCAATTCAATTCAATTCAATTCAAACTTTATTTATCCACGTAGGGCAATTCAGTTTTAGCCTACCAGTCGTATCAACAAGACTTAGTCAAGCATTCAGAAACACCGTCAATGACGTCATATTACATTTGGGCACCAGAACAAAGCAACAAATACACAGGCCACAATACATAAATTTAGCAAAACTGAAAAAAAAACCTAAAGTAGCTAAACTAAAGTTTAACTTTACTATATATTTATTTCAGTTTTAGTCATTTTAGAACATTTTATTTCAGTTAGTTCTTAAAGTAATAGTTTTTAATGTAATATTTACATGTTTGTTTAATAGATTAGCTTTATTTAAATCAACAAAAACTCATTTGAACAGTTTTAGTAAAAAACCTGGGTGCGCTCATGCATTGCTAATGGATCTTAGTGGCATGATTTCAGATGATAAAAATGTATTGCCCATTACTGAGAAGCTCTGTAACTATAATTGACATTTTCTATTACTCATACTGTATGTTACGTAAAGTGCAAATGAGTCAGGAAATAGCTTCGAAAAGATAACGATTTTGCGATTGGCTCATTATGGCACAATAACAACATTGCTGTGGACAAGCTGTTGAGCTCTTTTACTAAGGGTTTTTCAAAGACCAAAGCTACAGTTCATGCCCCTTTTCCTAATTTTTTTACACACATATTTTTTTTTTACATTTTCTTTGCACCCTGATCTGGTTGAGCGCAGTGATTCTATTTTTTCTTTCAAACATTTTTAAATAAAATGATTTGCTACTTTTATCCTTTGTGGAACAGGATATACAGTACTGTAGTTTTACAGAACCCTGATTGAAAACCATTACAGTACAGTTAAAGCACTGGTATTATGCCAGAATTTGGAGTGGAATGATGCAACCATGAGTCATATGTTATTATTGTCTATTTCTGTTGTGCCGTGTAGGTGAATGTTCTGCAGGCTACTTCTGTGACTGGGGCTCCAGCAGTCCTGAGCAGAGTCTCTGTCCTGCTGGTTTCTATTGCCCCGCAGGCACACACAAGCCCCTGGCCTGCACAGCAGGCACTTTCAGCTTCGTCTTGGGCAACAGCCACAGAGAAAACTGTGAACCGTGTCCATTAGGCTACTACTGTCCGGGTGCGTTAGTATTTCTATCTACAAGAAAATTCATTTAAAACCATCTCTGTGTTTTTTGTAAATCAATTACAATAGATCCTATTGCATTACAATGCAGGGGAAGCAGTATCAGAGCCTCTTCCATGTCCACTGGGACATTTCTGCCCCATGGGCACATCACTAGGCACTCAGTTTCCCTGCCCTCCAGGAACAATGCAGCCACAGTCTGGCACAGCCAGTATGGAGGATTGCTTACCGTGTCCTGCAGGTCAGACTGAAAATACATGAAAATAACAAGACGTATTGCACAAATACAGTACTTTTCAAAAATTTGGGGGAATGAAATGATACTTTTATTCAGCAAGGATGCAATACATACTGTAGATCAAAAGAAATAATTTCATTGTAAAAAATATATTAAAAGAAAAAAAGTTGTTTTGAAAAGTAATTGTAATTATATACCGTAGTTTTGCTCAAATAAGTAGAGCCTTGGTTAGCATAAGAGACTTTTAAAATCTTTACGTCAGTCTTTTGAACAGTAGTGTATAATATGAGGGGGAAAATGATCTAATCCATGTAATCTGTTTATTTAGGCATGTTTTGTGCTCGCCATGGCCTTTCAGAGCCTACAGGCCACTGCCAGGATGGATATCACTGTCCTTCGGGTGCCACGAGCCCTGATGGCACTGGAAACATGGTATATAATCAGTTCTGTCTCCAATTAGATTCTCTGTGTGTTTATAAAGGGTTCAATTCATTTAAAATGTGTGATTTTCAGATGGAATCTACAGGCAACAACATGTGCCCGGCGGGCCATTATTGCCCAGCTGGTATCAGTTCTCCTCTCCCCTGCCCCGCCGGAACATTCTCCAGCTCCCCAGGGTTGAGTGGGGCAGAGCAGTGCCAGCCATGTCCTCCCGGGTACTTCTGTGAGCAGACTGCTATGATCCATCCATCAGAAGCAACTCTCTGTGATGCTGGGTAATTATTTATATCAATGCTTTTCAGGCGCTAAACACAGTCATCTGACAACTATACACCCACACCCACTTGAGCTGAGCCAACCGGGTACACTCATGCGTTGCTAATGGATCTTTGTGGCATGATTTCAGAAGATTTATTGCCCTTTACTGAGATGCACTGTAACTATAATTTATATTTTATATTATGCAAATGTTACTCAAAGTTCAAATGAGTCAGAAAATAGCTTTGAAAAGAAAACTTATTAAAATGACTATGTGGATCCAGTTTCTACCCAGTTATAGTCAGTAATGAAAACAGATACAGTGGAGTGGCAGTGAAGTGCTTTTGCGATTGGCTCATTTCTTTTGGAATATACAGTAGTTTGTGACAGCTTTATTTGTCCCCTCACAGATATGTTTGTATGAACGGCAGTCGTAGTGCTCGACCAGTAGATGGACTACAGGGTTATATTTGTCCGAGCGGACACAGTTGCCCCATCGGAGCACCATTGGAAGTGCCATGTAAGCCTGGCACATATAGCAGTGCTCCTGGCGCCGCCCAGTGTCTCTCATGCCCTGCTGGCACAATGTGTCCTTCCCCTGGCACACAGGAGCCTTTTCCATGTCCCATGGGTGAGTCCAGCCCACTGCTGAGATTATTATGGATAATGAGTAATTAATTATGTCTTTCCATTCTGCTACAAATTAAAATCCGACACTGCTGTTCAAAAGTTTGTAGTCAGTAAGATCAATTATGTTGACCAGGGCTGCCTGCATTTATTTGAACAAAAATATAGTAAAACCTGTAATGTTGTGAAATATTCTTTTAAACAATTTACGTATACATAAAAATGATGGCAAAGCTACATTTTCAGCATCATCACTCCTGTCTTCAAGATCACATGATCCCTCAGAAATCAATCTGAAATGCTGATTTTGTGAAAAAAAAAATTATAAAAAATTATATATATATTATATATATATATATATATATATATATAATTTTTGTGAAAACCGTATTACATTTCCCTCCTAAAATTTTTATCATTTACTTGAAATAAAAATCTTTTGTAACGTTATTTGTTATTTTTGATAAATTTAATTGATTTGATTTGAGATATTTATTTTGAACATGTAAATAATAAATAAAAATACAATTATTAATCAATGAAATAAAGAATATTAATTAAAATAAACAAAACAAAAATGAACAAGGTAAAAAAAAAACAAAATCCAAACTTTCCAATACTTGAAGAAAAACAAAACAAACAAAAAAAACCAAAAAAAACAACCCTCTATTTACATGTGCAAAAAGGAGTAGGAAGAAGTAAAACTTATGTACTCCTACCCCCTTATACCATATTTAAACAAATACCTAAAAAATAAATAAATAAAAATCTAAATAAGTAATCAATCTATAATCCATGAAAGTATTGATTCTTAACACTGTGTTTCTCTGTAACTCTGTAACTCTTAATACATCCTTTCTGAATAAAAGTATTAATTTCTAAAAAACTTTAGAACTGTAGTGTTCAATATATGCTATTATGTTTGCTCACAGTCTGCTGTCTTTTCTGTGTTGCATCAGGTCATTTTTGCCCTGTTGGCACTGCTGCAGCTGTACCCTGCCCTGTGGGCACACTGGGACAGGTTACAAGGGCTCAGTCAGAAAGTGCCTGTGTGCCCTGCCCTACTGGCCTCTACTGCAGTTCACCTGGAACATCACAACCACAGGGTCTGATATCATTCCACACTTTGGCTTTGGTCATTGACTGTATCATATGTACTAACTGTTGTTTTGTTTGTAGGCCAGTGCCAGCAGGGTTATTTCTGCCAAGGAGGGTCTCCAAATCCTGCACCGCTGAATACAACTGGCTACCTCCGGAATGGCCCTTGCCCTCGTGGTCATTTTTGCCCTTCTGGGACCCAAATGCCTCTGCCCTGCCCAGCAGGCAGCATTCGTAACCTCACCGGTGTGTACAAACCATCAACCGGCACATTTATTTTAATACAATCTATAAAACATTTAGAGACAGCATTTGTGAATGGAGCAGCATTTAGATGCAAATGAATAATTTAACAGGGTGAGCGCAACAGAGCATCAAAATAAATGAGCAAGTAGTAAAAACAATAGGCTGTGTAGCTTAAAGCAAAGGTGCACAAATATTGCACAGATTCAACTTTAGTTGCTCTCATAAATACACTTGGAATACACTAGCAATAAACATGCACATAAATACACTAGCAATATACTTTTCAAATGAATCACATTCATCTAAACGTTGCTCTTCCCACATTTTTTGTAACCTTTTGCACATTAATATTTTATTTACAGTGATTTGTGTTTATAATATAACTATTTATTGACCTGCCCACAGGGGGTTACTCCATAGAAAGCTGTCTTCCTTGCCCAGCAGGGTATTATTGTGCCAGCGAGGGCCTGAATGCTCCAACAGGCCCCTGTGCTGCTGGCTTTTACTGCCCCATAGACTTCTCCTCCACCACCCCACACGCCTTCCTATGCCCTAAGGTCAGTTCGGCCTCCTTCACACCTTCTATCCATTTTTAATCTGAGCCTAGCAGCCTGACTGACAGGTTTTGTTTTCTCAGGGTCATTATTGTACTTTGGGTTCACCCCTGGCCTTGCCATGCCCCACAGGACAGTACCAACCGAATCCAGGCTCGGATAACTGCATCCCCTGCCGTCCGGGCTATTACTGTGAGGAGGCAATTATTGGAGACCCCCGGCCATGTCCGCCACATTCCTACTGCCCTGCGGGTAACCCATGCTGCTGTAACTCTTTGTGGTGTCATTGTTACATTTACTTTATCCCATTGTGCTTTTAATTGCAGCCACAATGGTTCCTCAGCCTTGTCCAAATGGCACATACACCCCACCTGAGGTCAGGGGTCTGCAGGAGGAGAGAGAGTGTTTGCCGTGTCCACCAGGAAAGTTCTGCAAGTACGTCTACAGAGTGCTTCATGAAGTGTTTCTTCAACTATTAGAAAACAAACTTAAAGGACAGTTTACAGTCTCTCATTAGTTTATTTTATCCACCAACAATTTGAGGTCGGTAAGATTTTATAGAATGTTTTTGGAAAAAAGTATCTTATGCTCATCAAAAACCATTTATTCATTCAAAAATACAGTAAAAACAGTAATATTGTGAAATATTGTTACACTTTAAAATAACTGTTTTTTTTTATTTAAGACTCTTTTATGTTATCGTGTATGGGCTGAGCAGAGTCTGCCGCCATGGGGCCACATTAACACTCGTGCCACCGGCATTGCTCCATTCTCATGGCTCTCTGCCCCACCCTACTTGCCACTAATATATTTGAAAAATTATTTACATTTATTCCTGTGATGGCTTATGCAATGCTGAATTTTCAGCAGCCATTACATTACAGTCTCCAGTGTCACACGATCCTTCAGAAATCACTCTAATATACAGATTTGGAGTTTAAGAAACATTTTTTATTATGAATATTGAAAACAGATGTGCAGCTTAATATGTTTGTGGAAACCATGATGTAATTTTTTTAGGATTCTTTGATGAATACAAAGTTCAAAAAACATAATTTATATATAATATAAATATTTGTAACATTATACATGTATAATCACTTGTGATCAAATTAATGCATCTTCGATGAATAAAAGATTTTTTTTTCCAAAATAATCTTACTGACCCCAAACCTTTGAACGATTGTGTTATTTGTGTATATGCATCCCATTTTTTTTTCTGAATGAAATGAAAATTTGATTAATTTGATTAGTTTTTGTGTCTGATTATTCCTCAGGGCTGGAAAGGTCAAAGGTCTGTGTGCTGCTGGATTTATATGCATCTCTGGCAGTTCAGAGTTCACCCCTCAGGCGGATTTTCTTCTCAACAGAGACCAGTGTGAGTGGGGAGTGCAGTGTGCTGGACCATGTCCTGCTGGTATGTTATTCTGCTTCCTCTCTAATCCCTTCCATGAATCAGATGAAAAGTCTTAATACATGAATAAAGTGATTAACAATCTTATATGATTATAAATCTGAGATATTTAATCTGAGTGTGTGTGTGTGTGTTTACTCCTGGTGTTTTTTTTATTTGGACAGGCTTTTATTGCCCTGAAGGAACTGAGGAACCTTTATCTTGTCCTGCCAACACTATAAGAGAAACCCCTGGAGCAAGTGCTATACATAACTGTTTGCTTTGTCCTCCAAGACAATGGTGCTTAGAGGGTATGTCAGTGGCTAAATGCTGTGTAAATACTGTATTTATATACTTATATAAAGTAGTTTTACATGTCTTGCTTCATCCATTGAAATGAAAAAAATAAGTTTTCTTTTGCTTTCTGCCCTCTTATAGGTGAACCCATCCCACGCTTGTGTCCACCAGGCTATTACTGTGATGGCATAGCTGATTATGAGTCTGAGGGGCGGCCCGGGCCCAGAAAATGTCCCCCATTCACATACAGGCCCACATCTGGGGCAGGGAGCAAGGGAGACTGTCTCACCTGCCCACCTGGCACTTTTTGTAACTCCACAGGTCTGACATACCATATGTAACACACTATATATAATCGTACATTTATGTACACTACCTTTCAAAAGTTTTTTTTGAAAATTTTTTTTTTTTTTTGTTTTCAGCAAGAACACATTAAATTGATTAAAAGTTACAGTAAAGAGATTTATAATTACATTTACAGTTACATTATAAATTTTAATTTTCCAATAAAAGCTGTTCTTTTGAACTTTCTATTCATTAAGGAATCTGATTTTTTTTTCACAAAAATATTATGAAGCACAATTGTTTTCAATGTTTTTGAGCACCAATCATGTGGCACAGAAGACTGAATTGCTGCTGAATTCAGGGTTGCCATCACAGAAAAAATAAATACATTTAAAAATCTATTAAAATTGAAAACAGTTACTTTTAAATTGTAATATATTTCAACATTTTACACTTTCATTGTATGAAGAGTTCAGATGCAAAAGCCTCTAAGTGCCATTTGAAATTTTCTTCTAAAATGATCATTTTTATCAAGCTTGTACATTTAAGTTCAGTAATTTCACGTAAATGGCAATGAAGATTACCTATTAATTGTCATTTAAGTGAAATTTGAGAAGTGAAGCTTGATTAAAATGGTCATTTTAGAAGAAAATTTCAAATGGCATTTAGAGGCTTTTGCATCTGAACTCTTCGTATATTTATCAAAAAAAAAATGCAGCCTTGGTGAGCATAAGAAACTTATTAAAAAATCGCACTGATCCCAAAATGTAATATACCATATCTAAAAATATATCCTTGTATAACCGCTTCTTTTCATGTTCAAAATGATTGTCTAGATTATCACTTTGTTGCTTTCATCAGTAAACTATATTAACTGATTTCAGGGCTCACTGATTTCTCAAGCTTCCTTTGCCCACCGGGTCATTGGTGCAGTGGGACAGGTTTCCCAGTGCCCTGCCCTGCAGGCACTATGAGGGCACAGGCCGGGGCAGCTGCTGTCAGCCAGTGTGAACTTTGCCCTCCTGGAACCTACTGCCCAGACCCTCGCACCACAGGCCAGCCTAATACAGCAGGCATCCCATGCCGAGCTTCTTATGAATGTCCTGCAGGTAGGTGCATCATTCATATTTACAAATGCACTAAAAAGTTAATATAAGGCATATTATAACTGTAAAGTATAGTAAAGTGATCCATCATACAGGCTCAGTGACAGAGATCCCTTGCAGAGCTGGTTCGTACTGTAGACCCCAGACAGGAGAGCCCAGACCGTGTCCTGCAGGATACTACTGTCCTGAAGGATCTGACACCTACAGCTCACCGATGCAAGTGTAAGCACCAACCAATTAGGAATGTACGATATATCGGGACCATATAGGTTATGAGCGAAATTAGACATTTTTGATATTGGATATGTAATTGTGATGCTCCTTTTCTCTATTTTTTTACATCATGTTTGCTGTCTTAAAATTCTCATTTGAAGTTCATCTCTAAAAACACTAGTAATTAAATAAGACTGTTAAATGTAAACATGATTAAAACAAAATGATCTCTTTTTGCAGATGTACTTTTCCACATTACTGTCCAGCCAACAGCTCTGCTATGCTGTCCTGTCCGGACGGCTGGATGCCGCTGAACACCAGTGGACTGAGGAAGTCCCAGGAGAGCAGCTGTGTGCTGTGTGGGGCCGGCACCTATCGGCCTCGTTGGTCCACTCACCTCCAGTGCCTCCTCTGCCCTCCAGGATATCACTGCCCTCCGGGTCAGCACTGAAGAACTCCCAAATTACAATCAAATAGACTAACAATTGCAACATTGATTGATTATGTTAACTAATTTAATGATCTGTTTACTAGGCTCACACCATTACAGTGATCAATCCTGTCCAGTAGGGTACATTTGTCCACAAGGCAGCTCTGAGCCTGTTCCCTGCCCGCCTGGATCATATGGAAACCACACTAGTGCAGAATCACTTGAGGAATGTCACAAATGCCCACCAGGCACCTTCAATCACTTGTACGCTCAGAGAGCCTGTTTCCCCTGTGGGAGTTCTTCCACCTCAGATGCAGGTCAGACTGTGTTGTAGAAAACTAAAGGATATTTTGTCAAGCCTTAGGGAACATTCACACTGAACATGTTTTTGCCTCAAAAAACACTATATGCGGGTTAGTAACGAAATAAAAAAAGAAATACTGATACATTTTGTATTGAAATCGAAATTAAAAATTTAATTTAGCCAAAAACCAAAACTGAAAAATAAAGTTTATTTAATAACCATGTATGTACAGTATTGAATGTAAACATTTAAATTGCACATAATGCAGTTTTTATATAAACCTTTTAATGAAATAATTATGTTTCCAGTTCAGTTAATTGTTGGGATAGAAACATTTAAATGGTGTTTAAGAAACTAGTTTTTCGTGGCAGATTTATTAAAAAATATTAAAAAAAATAAATAAATAATGAAAACAACAGATTAATACAGTGTAATCATCTCTATTTAGAAAAATGCTTCTCTCTTGAGTTCTAGCTGACTAAATTAATTAGAAATGAACTAAAATGCATTAACGGAAAACAGCATGGACTAAATGAAAATCAATTTAAAATGAGAAATCAATTTTGTCAAACCAGCCCAAGCTGACATGCTTACCTGCTGTAGCTAAAAACAAAATCTAGAGACATGTTTTTAAAAAGTTGTATAAATATCTGCACATATTTACGTAAAAAAACTTTGAAAAGGTAGCACAGTAAAAAGCAAAAACATTTTCTGGGTGAATGGCCCCTTATACTCTTAAAAAACAATCAGAGACCATGGAATATATTTATTTGGATTATTTTTACAGGGGCGTCCTCTTGTACCTGCATAGGCAAAAACCGTGCGTTTCAGCAGTCGGATGGGTCATGCTTGTGTAAGACCGGTTTTGTCTTCTACAATCAATTGGACTTAAAAAGCTTCACTGCAGATAGTGAACTGGACTGTCAGCCTGAGGTAAGATGTGTACTGTAGCTCTATGTCTCTTTCATATAACAGTGTGATAATACAGTAAGGATCTCTTCATTTTGTGAAGGTAAAGAAGCGCTGTTGGGCAGGTCAAGTGAGGTTGGCCTCTACGCTGGAATGTGTCGTCCCATCCACCTACTCCTGTAATGTTACGTGTGGACCTCAGGGAGGGACTTTGGATGTAGGGATGGGCATGTACGTTCACATACAGTGCTACACATACTGTTCCAATGAGGTCTTCTGTGTTATTATTATGTTAACACTTTGATTTGACAATAATTGTATTGTTTATGCAAAATACTACATACACTACCGTTCAAAAGTTTGAGATCAGTAAAACATTTTTTTTTTTTTTTAATAAAAGTAATACTTTTTCTCAGCAAGGATGCATTAAATTAATCAGAAATTAAGAGTTTTAGATTGTTACAAAATATTTCTATTTAACTTATTTTTATTTATCAAAGAATCCTAAAAGATTTATCACAGTTTCCACAAAAATAATAAGCAGCTCAACTCAAATCAAACCAAATCAGCCTATTAGAATGAATTTTGAAGGTTTATGTGGCACTGAAGTCTGGAGTAATGCTGCTGAAAATTCAGCTTTGCCACCACAGGAATACATTTAACATAGATTTTTAAATATATTAAAAAGAAAATAGGTGTTTTCATTTGTAATAATGTTTCTTTTTACTGTATTTCTGAACAAATAAATGCTGCCTTGCAGAGCATACAGTAAGAAACACCTTACTGACCCCAAACTTTTGAATGGTATTGTACATTAATATTTAACAGTTAAATAAATTAAGTATAAGTATAAATTCACAAAGTATTATGATAAAAAAAAATAAAGGCTAATTGTATGTGATGACCCTGGACCACAAAACAGTCATAAGTCACACTGGTATAACAAAACATTGTATGGGTCAAAATTATCGATTTTTCTTTTACGTCAGAAATCATTGAGATATTGCCCTAAGTAAAGATCATATTCCATTAAGATATTTAGAAAATTTCCAATCGTAAATATATCAAAAATTTATTTTTGTGAGTGGATGCAGCAAAACTTCCAAAAAAAAAAGCAAAAAAGGCGAAAATTTTTCTCAATAGTTAGAATTTTTTTTGCACCCTTAGATTCCAGATTTGCAAATAGTTGTATCTCAGCTATAAATCCTAACAAACCATACATCAATGGAAAGCTTATTTATTCAGCTTTCAGATGATACATAAATCTCAATGTGAAAAAATGTACCCTATATGACTAGTTTTGTGGTCCAGGGTCACATATTTGCTAAATTATTTTGGATACATTTTAAAATTCTGTAAAAAGTTGTTATTAGTTTATAATAACCTAATGCAATAATACCTAAGTTAATACCCAATGCATTAACTAATGTTAAAAAACTGACCTTTATTGTAAGTGTATAATTTATAAGTTTACGATGGTCACTGATAACCAATATTATATGCTGTGCTAGTTGCATAAATAACATAATAATTTTTTTAGATCAATATTTCATGTTTATTTATTTAATTTAAATAAGCAGAATCATTTACAGGCAACTGGTCATTAACGTAAAATAAACCCCTTCATGACAATACAAGACCACCCTGTCTGGGTTTATTTTGTGATAATGACCATCTAACTGCTCATTATCCCTTACATAATGAGCTGACCCTCATTTAAACTTTATCATGAGAAGTTTATGTTATGTTTTTCTTCAGTTGTCACTGTGAGAGGTACGTGTCAGTGGAGGAGCTGTGTAACTCTTCATGCATGTCCACACTACCGGTGCTCTCTGCCAGGCTGGATACAGAGGGACAGCTGCTGTTGAGAATTAAAGCCACAGATGAAAACAAAACCTGGAGCAGGGTGAGTTCTGGACTTTATCAGCTGTTTGTTTTAGAAAGAGGATTCATCATTAATATGTATAGGTTGTTATAGTGATAGAAGAGCCTGTGCTTAGTGATGTCAACTCATCCTCAGTATAACTTTATTTCATTCCTCACTCAGAATATGAGAGATGTACTAGGACCTGATGTTCACGTCAAGAACATTGGAAGGATCCACTTTGTCCAGTTTTCTCCCGAGGGAGTGTTTGGTTGGATTTTAAAAGACCCTGTGCTCATTGACTCTTTAATGTCAGGTAAGCTGACAGTGCTTTTGCTTACCACAGTGTTGGTCTGACCTACAGACTCAAACATTTTGCCCAAGCATCTTTAAGTACAGGTCCAAACCCACACTTAATGATAAGCTTGTATGTCTTTCATCACGATTGTCCAGATCATAAAACTTTAATGCTTGTTGTGGTATTTCCTTTCAGAACCAGTTGAAATTCTAGAGAGAGATTTCAGAGTGAGAAGACATGCTGATCAGAATGAGGTTTCAGCGCCTCTTCCACGAATTCCAAATCCCATAGCATGTCTGTCCCCAAATGACATGCTCATCTTTCAGCTCACGATCAACCACATTGGTATGGCTTTGTTAAAAAAATTGATAACCTGTATTTTTACCTTAGGGAGCTATATCTACCTGATTTAACCCATTAAAACTAAAAATTAGGAATTTAAGTTGATTCAGCAATATTAAATCATGTTTTTGACTTCAACGAAACCAGTTAAAGGTGCACTATGTAATATTGACAGCTAGCAGCAAGCTAAATGCAAAATATTGGAGAGTTATTACTTTTCCTGTCTCCTCAGACTCAACACTCACATGGGTTGCCAGATTGAGGACACACAATAAAAATGTGCATTATTGACAGTGGAATGTGATGTGCCTTACAGTTTGCAATTTTCGTAATGTTTTTAGTGCCGAGGCTTTTTAGGTCGGGTTGAATTTGCGATCTCTGGCCCTGTTTTTTTGCTGGCTTTCATCACTGTGTTTTCCGCTAACTGGCAACCCGGGGTGTTATTGGGTAAATTGGCAGGGGGCAGGCTCACACAGACCTAAGCAAAAAACAGACATTTCCGCAAGGAACGCATCATTTCAAAATAGAATAAATGGCTGTAACATTGTTTTTCAGAGAAACAAGTATTTGAACTTAGCATGTTTCCTATATCTCTGCAAACATATTTATGGTATTTTATTTTAGTACAGTAAAACCTTTATTTTAGATGTTCATTTCAAGTTACTATTTTTTTCAGTGTACATGTATGCATGTTTCATGTCATTCTGCCAATTTAGACCGCCACCACAGTCACTTCCCAGTATACCAGAAGGACCACCTGTTCAGCAGTAACCCAGGCTGGGATTTTGGGTCCTTCAGACGTCTGCAGCATCTCGTCATACACACACAGCTAAATTCCAGCAGGTAAAAATAAATAGATATATCACATTTAGCTTCAGGCCCGGCCTCATGCAGGGGCTTCGGGGGACTTAGCCCTCCTATGATGATCTGAACCCCTCCAAACCACACCTGGAGCTCAATTTAAACCGCAAAGCGATCTAATCTAAATGTGATTTAAGCCGAGTGGACACAACCCCCACCCCCACCTCCTGGAACACGATTTCAACCGCAAGCCCCCCTGAGAATTATAAAAAGACGCATGTCTAGCTTTCAACAAAGATCTGCATCTGATCTTCATGTGATTTTTCTTAATAGATTTGCACATGTGTTCATGGAGCCGGGAAAGTATGTGTTCCTGGATAACGCAGTGCCGGACTGGAGTCTGATAGTAGTCGTGAGTGAGCAGGGCTCTGAGTGTAACCCCACAACAGCCTCGTTCCAGCCCACGACCCCTGCACAGCTAGTGCGACATGGGATTGTCAAACAACACAGCTTAAACCTGCTTCCAGACTGGGGGCTCATCACAGGTGAACCAAGAGGAGCTTATGATGCATTTGAAATAGAAAGTTGCATTTTTCTTGCCAACAGGAATGCTTAACATTCTGTGCTTGGTATTTCTCCATAGGGATCTTGTCTCTGCTGGTCTTGTTGATACTACTGTTGACAGCCTCTGCTCTTGTCTTGAGGCCTAATCGTTCCAACCTCATCGCTCGAGGGAGGCCAAAGCCCAAGTGGCGCAGCTTGGGTGAACCCAGTGTTCCTATCGAATATGTTTTTAATACAGACGGGTAAGTCAACTGCTACTGTAATTGCTCAAGTTTCTTGGTGTTTGTTATAAGCATGTTCACAAGAACTTACAAGAATACTAGGGATGCACCAATATTTCAATTCTGATAACGCTAAAATCAGTCATTTGAAATGCTACATGGTAATTTACATAATGAAAATATGTATATTCATTTTGAGGTTTACAATAGATTACATTTAACATTCTTATTAAATTGTAACTGTTATTAAAAACAACATTAAACGGGCTATATGTTAGAATTTTCACATATTAATTACTTTTTTATTGCTGGTTTAGACCTCACTTTGAAGTAGGAGCTAAATTAGTTCCTCTAAAAGAGTTCCTAGGACTAAAATGGTTCCTTGTTCCTGCGGTGCGAATGCGCCGATATCCGGGGTACTTTCACCACAGTTCGAGGAACTATGAAAATGTTCCTCTGGTGCGAAAGCTATTATGTATGGTAATGTCAATGTGTCAAGCAAAGAAAAGAAAATAATTGAAAACTATAGTCTCATATTGCCTGGTCTCAAATATACTTTGTTATCAAACTATCATAACAGTTTAATTTTACTTACCTCATCTGTCGACATGATGCCAGTGAATTGCAGAGATGGTCCAAACATCCACAATAAACAGATGCTTTCTTAAAGGGATACTCCACTTTTTTTGGAAATAGGCTCATTTTACAACTCCTCCAGAGTTAAGCATTTGAATTTTACCGTTTTCTAATCCATTCAGCCGATTTTCTGATATTTAGAAGAATATCAGTAACGAGAAAGTTTCTGGTCTCATTGACTTCCATAGTGTATTTTTTCCCTACTATGGAAGTCAATGAGACCAGAAACTGTCTGGTTACTGATATACTTCTAAATATCAGAAAATCGGCTGAATGCATTTGAAAACGGTGAAACTCAACTGTTTAACTCCGGGGGAGTTGTAAAATAAGCCTATTTCCAAAGGGTTATTGTGGAGTAACCCTTTAAGAAAGCAGTAATTTTTATTAATCATATTTATTTTATTTTTATTAGTTATTAATTTTTATTTTAGAAAGTCTCTATTTTATCAAAATACAGTAAAAACAGTAATATTGTTTAAAAAATATTCTATTTTAATACATCTTATTATGTATTAATTTTTTTTCCTGTGATTTGTAAAGCAGAATTATCAGCATCGTTACTCCAGTCTTCAGTGTCACATGATCCTCCAGAAATCATTCTAAAATGTGTATTTGCTCCTCAAGAATTTTTTTTTTTAGTATTATCAATGTTGAAAACAGTTGGACTGCTAAATGTCTTATATCCGTGATACATTAGCGGATCTCGAAATTGATATCCATTTTTCATATTGTACATTATGTTGTGATGACCAAATTCACATGCAGCATTTAAAACGATCAATACCATGCTGAGCACATGGTGCAATTTTGAGTGTGCTGTGTTGTGTTGTAGTTTGGACGGCTCTGAGCCTCTAGGTCTGAGAGGGGTGGGAGAGGGGGCAGAATCAGAGGAACTTGCTCTTTACAAAGGAGGTAACAGACAATCATCTGAAACGTCCAAAAGCTGACAAATATACAAACACTTCTGGTGAAGTCTGTCAAATCACATATTGATCCAACATGTGAAGGTTTCAGAACTTCACTAATGGACCTGGAGGAGTTCAATGTGAAAACGCTGTATGACAAGTTAGAGGATCAGAACTTACATCTGGCATCCCAGCTGGCGAAGCATCGCAAAGACACACAGGAGTTTTACAGGAACATGTGTCAACAAATTGATGCTTTGAGGGTAAGACAGAAAACGAAAAGTCGATTGAAGATAATAAATCCATTAAACACAAGCAGTCACTATAACTAATCAACTTTTGCATCTTGAATTTAGGACACACTAGAAAATATGGAACCCTCAAAACTGAACCAGTTGAAAAAAATACTAGACAGTGAAGCTCTGATGAAAAGAGAAACTGCTCATGGTGAGAAAATTGAGCGCCTTACATGTGTATCTGCATTCTCAGTCACAGGTCAGTGAAAGTATTTGTGTTTGCACCCACCAGAGCCGTGGATGGGGCTGATGGAGGCTGTGCTGAGATCTTTGGAGGGAGTGCTATGCAGGATGAATGGGGAGGTCTGGCAGCAACAGGACAGCACAGCTATAAATAGCCACAGAGACATCAGAGAGAGTGAACTTCCCACCAGATACATTCAGGTTAATCATTTAAACCAATTAAAATAGCACAGAGACAATTTATAAGCTATGAATGTAAAAAAAAAAAAATCTTAAAGGGATAGGTGCCCCAAAAAGGACAATTCTGTAATTATTTACTTAACCTTGAGACAAAAATTATGCTATCATCATTTTATGATCAGATCACATGTTTTATCATAAAAGTGGTCCATTTGGGACTAGTTTTGATGTGTGAACAAATCTTTCTTTCAGGCTGTGTTGTTTTAGTTAATTGAAATAAAGCTGGAAAAAATTATAAATATTAGATGAAAAATGTTAGATATTCTGCAATAGTATATAAATAATACTAAAATAACATTGCTTTTGGGTTGTCTTTAAAAAAAAATCAATTCATTTAGTTTATAAATACACAAAATGGCTTACAGCTTTTGTGTCCCACAGAGGAAAGAAAGTCATACAGGTTTGGAACGACACAAGAACAGTGACAGAAGGTTCATTTGTGGGTGAACTATCCCAATAAGTGTTTCTATATCATTTCACAGTTTTCCCCCTCAGACATGCCCGAGTTTAAAGTGGGTGCTGATACAGAGGCAGCTTCCTCAGATCCAGGTTTGACCTCGTTGAAAACCAGTTTGCAACCTTTCACCCCAGGACTGCTGCTGTGCTAAAAGTGCATGCTCTCATCTGTCAGGTCAACAGCAGAGCACCGTCCCCTGTGTGAGTGAAGAGGAACTGGCCAAGTTTGTGTCTCTGACGCCTCTCTCCAAAACACTGCAGGAGATAAAGGAATCTCTCCAGATGCTTGTCCAAACGCCCAGGACTGAGGACGGTCAGTACACATTTGTGCTTTTGGATTCAGTATTTAATCCTGCTCAGTGAGTTAAAATAGAAAAAGCTCATTGACATGAACAGCCTATTCAAAGTGCAAAGTAATTAATTATACTGATACATACAGTGACAAATAATAAAAAATACAAATATAAAGCACATTCTCTTTTATACTAATATACATATATACTGTGTAATAAATTGTATCCCCTCACAAATGTCGGTTTTGTGTGTATTGTAAGATCTCCTAATCGTTTCAGAGTTTTGTAATGACCTACAGTACATCTGCTTTTTTCTCCTTCAGTAATTATCTGCCCAGCGGAGAGTGAACCATCGCACCTGATCCCTGTTGCCCTTGACAACCTTTCCCCCCAGCATTTTGCAGTCTTCCTGTTTGGCTGCCATGTTGCACGTCTGTTGAGCAGAGCTTGTGACTTCCCCCCTGTCATGCTGCTGTTGGCCAGGACGGTGCCAGTCTCGCACTGTGATAACCTGCTGGCCTACTGTCATAAAGACTTCTATTATGACACAGCCAATCAAATTCTGTACATACTGGAGAAGAAGCTTCAAAATGCTGGCCAGTTCATCTCCATTCTCTTGCACTCTATGGCCTATATAACCTCAGGTAAGAGAGATTGCCCTATCCTTTCAAAAAGAGTTGTCTAGTCAGATATCTCTAAAGCTTTTTTCACCTGGATTTTACAAGACAAGTCACTGTCATTGTAAAGAATTCATGTCGGAAATCAAAAGCAACACTTTGTTTTACAGTGTCCTTGTTACACACATTACATGTATTTACTGTTGTAATAACTAAATAAATTATAAGCATAATTACATGCGACTTGCCCTAAACCAAACCCCAATCCTAACTTTAACCCTTTACATGTAGTTAATTGTGATTACTCAGTACTTAAATGTATAATTACACTGTAACACAGACACTTTAAAAATTAAGCATAACCAAAAAAAAAAAAAAATGGCTGACCTCAAACTTTTGAACAGTTGTGAAAATTGTATAAAAAAATACTAAGACACAAAATAAGACAATTAAATATTCACACATATATTATACCTTCAAATATGAACACATAACTTAATTTATTTAATCATTCCTCACTTTTTTTAAGTTAAGTCAACTGATCACTTTTCACAATGTTTTCACATTTCAGTGACATCAGCAATGTATTCCAAACTTAAGGAGCGGCAAAATTCAAAGTTAAAATCTTTTGCCATTTAAATTTGTACAGGTTCAAAATCTCTCGACTTCATAAAAGCCTTCCACTTGGCCATATCGGCGTTAAGCATGCAGTTGTTTCATCAATCTTTCACCGAAGACCATAGGAAAGGAAAGGTAAGGCACCTGTTTGGAATATTTATATGAAATCCAGGAAGCCATCTTGCCTGTTAGAAGAAACACAAACACACAAACCACAAGCAATACCAGAAAAAGAATCACTATAAGACGAACCCAGCTACAAGCTATAACAGACTTTTTCACTTGTTAGATGGACAAGGAAAACACACCGGAGGGCTTTGGAACATTAGTAGAGGACTTCTTCAGTGTAAAAATACCTATTGAAACCCATTTTTCACAGAACCTGCTGGCTGAGAGGTTAGTATCAAATCTAAGGTGCATTTGACTTCAAGAACATTAAAGCATGAACATTAAGGACATATCAACTAAGTTCCTCAATTGATTTTAGACTTCAAGAATATAAGTACTTCAAGTTGGAACAGCTCCTGCAGGAACTAAAACCAACTCTGAAAGACAGGCATGGAGATGGTGAGGGATTACTTGTTTTATGAGAACTCTTTACTGAAAACATTCTTATATCTTTTGTGTATATTGTTGCAGGACGAGGGCAAACTGGCCTAAAGACTCAAGTCCCAGTTAGTGAATGCATTTTTACATCTTAAGTTTTATTTATTCCGAAGAGTGTACAACTATGGAAATGCCCCTTTTTCCTCTACTTGTGCTTCAGGTGCTGTGTGTGGAGAGAGAAATAAGCAGACTTAATGAAGTTTACCAGCAGCTCTCCTCTGAACTCCACAGGGTAATGCTCATACGTAGCCCACCGGAAACGACAGAGTCCAAGTTTGACAAACCTCTACAGGTAACAGCCAGTGGAAACCCTTATAACTCCTAAGGGAGTGCCAAATGCTTTTACATTCTATCATGTATTTCTCACTCCTCGCTTTCAGGAGCAACAGATAATGCTGGAGCTGCAGAAGTGTCCGGTGGATCAGAGGCTGAAGGAGATGAGAGACAGACTATCTAAACTGACTCCTAATGAAGACAGAGCAGATCACAGCAAAGTGCTCCCTCAGAAAGACAGCCAGACTCCCAGCAGACGTAAACCAGAGAAACAGACACCTGCCGCAGGGAAGTCCAGCAACAAGAAAAAGCAGAGCAAGCCCATGGACAAAGATGAGGAAAAGCGTGTGACTGCGTGAGGAGTAACGTTTTAATTTCTAATGTAACAAGTTACTATACCAGCGACTATCAGTTTGGACCTTTCAGAAGTGTGAGGTCGATAAGATTTTATTATAAATGTTTTTGAAGGGAGCCTTCCACCAAGGCTGCATTTATTTAATTCTGTTAAATATTTAAATTATAATACATCAGTGTCACATGATTCTTTAGAAATCATTCTAATATGATGATTCGCTGCTCAAGAAACATTTATTATTATCAATGTTAAAAAAACAGTTGCTGCTTAATATTTCTGTCAGGACCACTATCGTCAAATTCGATTGGCAATTAGCATACAGTCTGGATTGGCGGTTTGGTTCCGTTCTTGGCGAGAACTCCCTGCGCATCCAAGCAGCCTAGCATGGATATGAGCAGGAATAAACAAAACAGAACCAACATGAATGTATTCAGATATCATTAATTCAAGTTTTTTTTTTTTTTTTTTGAGAATTTAGTTTAATTCAGAGGGCAATCAGAATGCCAAATCCTGACTGATGAGAGGAGGAGCTGTGGATGGAGGAGGGAATTGGCTCCTGAGAAACGCGATAGCTGCTGATAAATCTGAAGGGGCTAGGCGTCGTATACAGCCCGGTCTCATCCTCAAGGCGTCATATAAATGATGCTTTTGTTTGACATTGCATCTACATCCAACGCACATGGCACCTTTTAGCATCCATATGAGACGCAGATATATATGGGCCAGAAGACGCCTCCTAGTGGTCTAACCCTAACACTACCCCAGACCTAAACCTACTCATAACCGAAGTTATATTGACGCTAAAGGGTGCCATGTGCATCGGATTTAGACAAAATGTCAAAAGCGTCACTATGTGACGCCCTAGGATGAGAATGCGTTGTCCTATAAGTAGACGTAGATCAGCTGAGAGTCAGCTGAATAAAACTGTATTTATTTAAAAAGGAAATCATTTGTAACAATGACTTTAGATAAATTGAATGCATCCTTGCTGAATAAAAGTATTAATTTCTTTAAAAATATACAGTATCTTACTGTGTTTTAAAATGGTTTATCTTCATTTTTGAACATGGTTATTAGCCCTAAATAAAATGTAAATCTAAATGCTTAAATGTAAATCTCTGCTTTTCCAGTCAGTAATCTAACAGTTTATGCGTGCTCATGCTCTGAGCTGGGCTAAACTACTCCTCTGGGGGAACAGACTGTGTACAGATTGGGAAGGGAAAGTAGTAGCTATCATCACGCTCTATCGGTGTTACAACTCTCTGTCCTTGAGCTGATACGCTCAAGAAACTTCCATTGGCTTTTTGCCGTCGGCCTTTATCACTTAGATTAAACGAACAGTGTATCCACGCGGCATCCAGAGCAGACTTTCCACTTCACATACCTGTCAGCCTCAGTGTACTGCTGCTGAAGTAAATACAGTGATTACAAGGCCCTCGTACATCTTATTACTAGCACATTTAAAACTTATTTTGTAGATGTTTACATTTATCCCTAAATGAGCCATTCATATTTTAGTGTTAAACTTTATACTTTTGAGCATAATTTTATTTTTTTTACATCCTCTATTGACACTGCTACAATGTTTTATATCAGCAGTATATATCTTTTTTTTTTTTTTTTGCAGTATAATAATTATAATTTTAGCACAACCCAAAATCCAGAACTTTCTGGAATTGGGGTTGTAATCGTTTTTTTTATATATATATATTAGTTAAGTGGTAGCAACAACATCACTTATCACTATAGCTAATATAAACTATAATAATGGTCATTGTTATCATTATTATTATAATTGTGACGATAACTGTAATTGCCAGTGTATTTGTGTTTGCTGGTGTTGTTGTTTTGTGCATATCAATCTTTTTGGGGTTAACCTTAATAACTATAACAAAAACTTTAACACTATTATTTTGCTGCTTGGCAAGCAGGAAATGCAAAAATATACAATATTAATGAACAGGTTGTCATGCTGTATTTCTGGAGGAGGTAGCTGGGATCATGCCTATTTCTGTCCTGGCTCTCTTCATTAAATGGACAGCTGCAATACCTGAGAGCACTCCACTTGAGTAATGAACAGTCAGATCTCGAGTCCACTGTGCAGTGTAGCTTATTATGGAAACCACTGTTTTACTGGCAGTAATATTGTCCTCTGTTAATGAGCTGAAGATCCACTGATATGTCCATGAAGTGACCATCCTGCCGTAAGTGCTGTCTTTTATTATTCATATAATGGCATAAAAGTCTCCATTTGTAGATATTCAATCTTCTAGAAAGATCTGTTGGTAATGCTTCTTAGTAGGCTAAACTGCATGTATGACATATGTCTATATCAAAACTGATAGAGAAATATAAACAAATTAACTATGATATAGGTTAGGTACTTTATTTCTTAGGATAACATTTCCACTGTAAAGCTAGACTGATCAAATTAAAGTCCTCAGAAAACAAAGAAATTATTTCATAGAATGGTGCTGCCATGTTTTAGTATTTTTGCCAACATTCATTTTCTCCATAAGGAAATTGATTTTGAACCATAACTTGTAAGCCTTTAAAGACAGACCTACTATGAGCTGCGAGGTTAATCCATGGTGTTTTCTCCTGCTGAACCCATCAACCCACATTTTTTTTTATAATCGTGCTTTACTGCGGAAGCCCTGAACCGCAATGTAAAGGAAAAAAAAAAATTCTCTGTCATCAAATATTTCGACTATATTCTCGTAATTTTAGATTTTTTTTTTTTTTACGTATTATTATTATTATTTTATTTTATTTTTTTCTACTTTTTTCGGTTCAGGGCTTCAATACATTTGTGTCCAGAAGATCCACGAAAGTCATATGAGTTTGGAAAATGTCATGACTCATGTCATGAGGTATAAATCATCTAACTAACATGATCGTTTTAAAAGTGTTTAAAAGACAAAAATACAACCAATAAGACATATTTGAGAATCGGAATATCAGATTTCACAAGAAGACAATTGTGTCATCAAAAGCTAAAACCAAGAGGTTCATTTCTTTATAATGGACGCAAAACAAAGATTCTTGATTTAATCCAAAGTTTTATATTTTAAACCTTAAGGGAGCTAGTAGGGCCTACCAAAGTGTAGACAATTTATGCAGTTTAAAGTAAAAATAAATATATTTTTAAATGTCTCACTTAATTCTATTAAATATTACTGTTGTGCAATTCAAACTACTGTATAACATGCAATGTTTGGGTGTGGGGGACTTTGACTTTGCTTGGGGTACTGTAAACCGGCTCCTTGCTCTCAAACTACTTAAAAATTTATATTTATATGCATGTTTTACAATAAACTTAAAATATAGCATTTAACATTTCTAAATGAGTAGTTTTATGTTTCTCCATCTCTTTTAAATTTGATTATGCTGTTCAGAATGCTTCATTGTAATGGTAGGATTGTAGTTATTTCCCTCACTAAAGTACACAGTCTTGTAGCTTTTTGTATGATTTTCAAAAACTTCAGATCAAAATGTGTAGTGTTGTGATTGACCTTGTAACTGACTGGCTTGGTTCATGGCTTATAACCCTTTAACAACTTTTTTTTTAATCCCTATGAGAAAAATTAATGGAAAAAAATACTTCCGGAACCAGTGTCACTGAAAAAGGGGCGGGCACTGTTCCACTCAATAGACTTCCAACTAAAGTAAATATAAATTAATGCAAGTAAACCTGAAAGTCTTTTTAAATGGTTTACACCAGATAATAGGGGGCCGGAGATACTTTAGAGCAGAGCGATTTCATTTGAAAGGTTTTGTAATGTAGCACATGGTAGTGCTAGACAGTAATATCTCTTCTTGAGTCCAGTGATGTGAGAATTGCTTGTGTTATCTTGCTCCTGGTTGTTATTCAGCGATAACGAATGCGAGCTCTCCATGCGTATATGTATAAAGTCTCTTGAGAGCTGGTCATTTGTTTTGTGTGCATCATTATAGAAAGTGTTCTGTACTGCCACAAACATAACAGAGCATAAAGATGGCTATCAACTAAAGTGTGTCAACTTCTAGTAGATACAAAATAATCTCCCAAAATGTTGGTACTTTAGCACATTCCAGATGAAAAGGAGAGCTGCTGCTGGTGGTGGGTACTAATATCTGGGGTTTGTGTTGAAATCTGACAATGTCATAATAGAACACGTCTCTCTTTGCAACAGTTAGGATGAAAACGTCATCTTTGTCAGGAACTTGTTCTTAAACAGCTGAAAAAAACGTAATTTTAATGTAAAAATTTCAGCAGCAAACAATGAGACTGCTTTGCTTTTCAATTCATGCAGACTGACAGAATGGGCTCTCTGTTTCTTGACCTACTCAGCATGCAGAGCGTTTCTGAGAATCGTGCTGGTCATGATGCTCTGTCCTGGGATTGATCTACTCCCATTATGAGCTTAAAAAAATAGGGTTTTTCTTCTTCTACATAGCCAACTCAAATGGACCATTAGTGAAAATGTCTACTTTGAAGATGCACAAAAATCATATGATGCATTTTTATAAAAAAAAAAAAAAATGCATTTATTATTATTATTATTTTGTGCATGTTTGGGACAACTGTCATTAAGTGTCATTCGCTCAGTTATTACATTTTTAATGCAAATATGACATTGTTTGAGATGTTTTTATGACACCTTGACATAAACCAATACATCATAACCTGTCAGTGTCTTTGTCATGACAACTTGACATTACTAAGACAACACAACCTGTCATAAAAATGACATAGCAGATTAATTATCAAACTAGCTTTATTGGTTAACATTATATTAAACTGTCATGTGGTTGGTTTTGACATTGGCTATCATGAAGCCATTATAACTCTTTAATGACAAATTCAGTTAGTACCACTGTAGTTGAGGTCATGAAAATATTCATGACACAGTTATAATGGTATTATTACAGCCAATGTCAAAGCCAAACAAAAGCCAAGTTGTCATGACAAAGACACTGACAGGTTATTATGTAATGGTTTATGTCAAGATGTCATAACAAAGGCATCTTAAACAAACACAAAGACACCCAATGACAGTTTTCATAAACATGCATAAACCTTACTTCATATTCAAGACATATGTCATGGTTATGAAGATGTCATGTCAGTCTTATGTACACCCCTTCAAGTAAAGTGTTACCCATAATTGATTTGTCACAAATGATTTTGTCATAATCATTTCAGCTTCAAAATCTTTTTTTTTCTTCCTATTTCCAGTTTACATTTTTTTTTAATCCCAGATGTTCTCAGATTTTTTAATAGTTTTATTTTATATGAAATATTCATGTAATGAAGCTAATAAAGAGAATGTTTTATAGTTCAGGCATGTTTATTCCTAATATTGTTTTACATTCTTACAAATCCTAAAACTATTTTTTTGTTGTTTTCAGTTTTGCATTGCAGATTTTAAATGTGTTCTCAAAGTTTTGGACTGTCAGTTTAAAACATTTTCAAATAGTTATACAAATATAATAAATATTTATATTTAATTATATTATTATGTATTTATCTCTAGTCTAAACTCATTTACTGAAGCTAATAAACAGGCATACAGGTTTTATCCTGCACTGCTGGATGAAAGCATCACTCTGGCCTGCTCTCTCCATGCTGTCATTTTGCATTGCTGTTGCCATGGTTTCCCTGTTTCGTGGGTATAGCAACCACCAGGCCTGCCATTTTTAGCCTGTGCTGAGACCAAGCCTGCTGTCAACATCTCCTGCACTCCTGCCATTGTATTAGAGCTCTGCACAGACACACCTCCCTAAGAGACATCCGCTTCAATCCCTTCCACAATTCATTTCCGGTTTGTCCGAAAAGGTTGGAAAGCTTTTGACACGACTGGTGGAAACACACAATCAGACCGTTTGTTCCAGTTCTAGGACTGTGAACCGTGTGCTCTTTGTTTTCCTGTGAGGTCAACATAATAAAGCAGCCATAATCCCAATGATGAAATCTGTAATCCTTAACTCTGACCTTTGTACTAAGCTTCACTGCCCCCATACATTACTTTGTCCAGATTAAATCGTCGACATTCTAATTGTAAGATTAGACGCGTTTGTGTTAATATTCAAACAGGGATCTAATCCCAACAAATGATCCTTCCCGACGGTACCGTAATGAGTCCTAGAAAAGCAAGATAGGCATAAATGCACTGTTGATGGCTTAGCCGTCATGAGCATAAACACATATGCATTTCAGACCGTATGGATTACTGGAGTGCAGGAAACACGTTTATCCTCATTCTCAGATGATTTTCATCAAGCATTTGATATATGCTGTCAGTCATGTGACTGAAATTGTTATAACTTCATAGCCATACAGTCTACAAGTGTTTTGATTTTGTGCACCTATTTCAACATACGGCACATTTCAGCTCAACATACGGCACATTTCAGCTCAACACTCCATTTTGCATTAGTCAGTTTCTTCAGCACTCGTCATCCATGTGATGACTGAAAGCTGGAAAGGTCATAGATTCGGTATAATAATTGCAGTAGAAGCCACTTCCCCGACCACACGTAAGATAAGTAAGGAGTGTGTGGGTGTGAATGATTAAATGCTGTTCTCGAGCGAGTACAATAGAAGCCTTATGCATACAGCTCATGATGTGCTGTTCTCACTTGGGTGAAGAAGGTCTTGAAGAATTCTTGAAGGTCCATTTTTTTTTTGTGTAGACACGGCTAAAAAAAAAAAAAAGATACTGATACAGTTCACTGAACACTATTGCCTGGTTTCAAAGACAGGGTTTATATAAAGCCAGGATTAGGCATTTAATTAGGCCATTTAAATAGCTTTTGTGAAAGTGTCTTAAAAATATTACTGGTGACAAAATAATGGGACTGACATATTTTATGATATTAAAATAACAAAATCTATAGTGGGGAAATACATGTCACTGTATGGGGTAAGTTGTCACACTGAAACTTGTTATTAAATAGGCTAATTCAGTGAAAATAAATTGGCGTAGAAAGAATTTTCTAGAAAATTGCTAGTCAATTTCACGATATAATAAGAAAGAAATAACACATTGAATTAAATGTGGACTTTTGAGGTAGAACGACTGAAATAGTCTTTAGTAAAAAAAAAAAAAAAACCTCCATAATATTTTGTGTCATCATTTCTATAGGCTTTATAGCTAAATTAAACCATAAAACAATTCGTCTATGAATGACAACAATTTACACAATTTAAACAATTTTCATTAAAATGTGAAACCATTGTTTGGTTTGTAATAAATGTATGTAATGTAAATAAAAAAGAAAAAAAAAGAAAAATTATATTATACAATTATTATGACATTTAAAATACGTGACAAATCCAACTTATTTATGAAAAATTACTTTTAAAAAAATGTTTTATCAGCGAAACAAGTTTTTGATGTTGTTCTAAAAGACGAAAAGCAACGAAGCCAGTTTGAAAGTAGATCAGGCAGCGCATGCGCACTAAGGATGTCTGTCATGCGTAAGTGGCTACTTAGTAAGAAAACAAAGACAGGCGTCTCTTATTCTACAGCTGCGGGGGTTTGACGATGGAGCATCTGTACTGCGGATGCAAAAGGAAATCAGCAATCCTTCTCTGTTACTGACATCTTCTGAAGCAGCTCGTTTTGGAGGCGCTGGATTTCTTTACTTCGCGCGCATTTTCTACAGGAATCATTAAGATCCACAGGTCTTTAGATTCACGAGCATCGCCATGGAACAGCAGCGTCCGCTTCTAGCTTAAGCCGTTTACGGATGTTTGTATCTCGGTAAGAAACTTCAAACTTTTTCTTGAGAAACATAAAAACGTTCTTTCCTTCACTTAAACCTCAGCTCCAAGTTGTTTCATTCACAGCTTGTTATTAAAGTCATAGTGTGTCATTTTTACAGACCTCTCTCTGAGATGTAAACATCTGCTGTAAATAGTGAGTAACGTTAGCTATTTGGCAATCGCGAGCGCTGTCCGTGGTGCTGAAACCCATATCCTGTTAGTTATAGATCTAATACTGTGTGTGTGTGTGTGTGTATAAATATATATATATATATATATATATATTATTATTATTATTTTTTAAAGCGTTTAACCTCTTTAAAATTAAGTTTCATTGTCGGTTTTTCTTTTTTCACCCTGTACTAACAGGAAGACTCAATCTGAGACGCCGCCCTGTTATTACAGCTCCCAGCATGGCAACTCACATGAGGCTTGTGTTGCATTTGTTATTGCTGTTCCTATTTGCTGGTAAGTGTTTTGATTTTTCAAATTTCTAATTCGAACGATAATGAAACTATTATTATAGTTTGAGATTATAAAAGTTTTTATTATAGTTTAAATCATTTATAAGAACTGAACTGTATTAAACTGATCATACTAAAAATAAGCATACTAGTTTTTGTCCTGTAAGCCATTTCTAACATGTGTGGTTGTCATATATGCAATACAGAAACATAAATGGACCTCTGAAGATATGTTTATACGCAATGTCTTATTTTTTATTGCATTTTTATTTAACAGTTTGTATCTCTCATGTAAATGTAAAATACATCAATGTGTGGTTACAGCATGCTATTATGTTGCATTTAGCTAAAGATGTTTTTGTCAATCCACTTGAGTTTTTGTAGGGACACGCTGTTCAATATTTTTTTAATCAGAAATTATTCTCATTAACTCGCTCCCCCCAGCATCTTAAATGACTGTATCATCCTAGGCTACAGAAACCATTTTAACCAATTAATTAAACAACAAAGCATTAATATAGACAGTGTTTGAGATGTGTTTGAGATGTGTGAGGTGCTTCAACATTACAGTAAGAGCCACAAATTTACATATCAAATACAAGTACAATCCCTGCATACAGAGATGGCATTGATTACGCTGTAAACAGTAACATATGGGTCAATGACTCTCTCTTCACAGACTGTGGCAGTCTGGTGTAATCAAAATATTGTTCTGAAATAGATTTAGAATTGTATTTCATCTACCACCTACTTCACATTCTTTGACTAGTGGCCGAAGTATGTCACAGCTAGTTATTATTACACATCATCTAGAGTTTGCTTGTGGGCTGGACAATTACATTTGGTGTTTCCATTGGCCCATATCACCCTTCAAACAGGAAAGGCATGATCAGTGTTGACAGCTTATGCTAGAGGCTGTGAGTTATGTAAGATGGTCTACATTTTACAGTTTTTCTCAATTGCTTTGGCTCAGTTCTCAAATGTTTTTTTTTATTTCCCAAAACATTAAGTTCAGATCTCTGAACAATTCGCTTCTTTTTCACATCAGATTGGAATTTCTTATTGATTTGAGCAAATTGCAAATGCTTTGGCACATGTGTGCAAAGAGTACATACAACTGTCTGCAATTTGGACAACAAAGAATTGCATATGGCTTGTTGATCAAAACTGATGACTCGATTCTCACTTACACTGTCAAACACTTCAGAACTTCTCAGAAATGTTTTATTGTGTAAGCCATCACATTCAAAACGATCTATTCAATTATCATAATTTGTATACATGCATGTATATTCTAAAATATATCTGACATTGACATTGTTTGTAATGTTTGCTAAATTGGCACATGACTTCTAATTGCATTCGCAATCTAATTGCAAATTACCTCTAATATGAATCAACCATTTAACCAATCAACTTTGGGAGTATATATATATATACATATATAGAATGGAGGACATTCACAACCCTGAACTGCATCAACAAGCTCATGGAAGAGCAATTGGAAGGCGTGTAAAAATACGTGGTGGTGGTAGAGGAAGAAATAATCGAGGAAGAGGTGGAAATAGAAGAGTCAGAGTCTCTGATGAAATCAGAGGCACACTTGTGGATCATGTCATAAATCTGACCATTGCAGGGGATGGGTGCAGCATTCAAGGAGATTTTTTCCACGGTGTGTGGCAATGGTAACATCAGATGTTGATGAAAATATTTGGCCTGACCAACGTGAGCGACAAGATGTCCACCAAGAATAATTTGTTTCTTTTTTTTTTCTTCATTAATGTTATTTGTTGTTTGTGTATTTGTGGTAATACACAAAAATGAAATGTAAAGTGAAATCTTGTTACTCTTGTCAGTTACTTTACATGTACAGTAAATACACTTGTATTGTGTACACATGAAGTACAAAAATAAACAATGTAAAAATACAAATGTTCATAGAATTTTTTTTTTCTACATACTATTGACTTTTCTCAACAAATATGAGATTTGTTTACAATAAACCCTTAATTTTCATGGTTGACTGTTGTGGTGAAAAAACAACTAAACATTTTGACCAGTGTGGCTCACACAATGACAAAAATACTTAAGATTTTGGTGGCCTTGGCCAAATTATTGACAAAATAACTAGGTTTTGAAGCATGAATTAAATGTTTTGGGTGAGTAACTACATTTTGCAGACATGCTTTAAAGTTTTGAAGTTCCTGCAAACAGTTGTGACATTTGCACTCACAGTTTAGAGAATGTTAAGACTGTTTTGAAAAATGTGCCAAAGCAATTGAGAAAAACTGTAACAATGGCAGAGAGGTTATGTTCACAGTCGAGTGAACACTCCAGAACAATCTTCACATCACCGAGGCCTCGGCCTGGCCCCTGCTCAATGAGGTGATCTCTGCAGTCAATGTGTCTGCAGCAATAAAGTATGTTTTTGTCTGATCGCGAGAAGAATGTGCTGTGAGCTCTTTCTGGAATTGTACTTGTAATGGGTAATAATATCTCTGTTTCTTTTTTTTTATTCTCTGGTGCTCCCTTGAGAAAACTCTGCCTCAAATTTAATTGACCTCCATAAAGTATATGCAGATTGAAGCTACATTTTTGGAAAGGTGTTAACTTTTCACTCCATGGCCATTAAAGGCATGATTGTCATACATGAGATGATAGATAGATAGATAGATAGATAGATAGATAGATAGATAGATAGATAGATAGATAGATAGATAGATAGATAGATAGATAGATAGATAGATAGATAGATAGATAGATAGATAGATAGATAGATAGATAGATAGATAGATAGATAGACATGACATGACATGACATGACATGACATGACCCCACATTGAAATGAATGGGAAATGTGAAAAAACTAAATAGATTTTCTTCATGTGTCAAAAAAAAAAATCCGTCATAAATCTGAAAATTTTTACACAGAAATGAAGGCCTAGTACTAGAGCATAAATGCAATCTATCATAAAAAATAATATTTTAAATGCAAGCTAATGGTGTAGTTGAGGATTTGTGTGGTATATGGATACAAAAGTACTTTATATCTCCAAAAACACAGCATTAATGAATAGATGAGAAGTAAACAAAAAATATAAATATTATTTGTATGATTAAAAATGTATATTTTTTGTACAATTTTTTAATCAATTGTTGGGGTCGTAAAGACCCCGAAGCCCAGAAGTTTAAACAGGAAAAGAAGACCATTTGAAGGTTAATCTGACACACCCAGTTCAGTTCATAGAGCTCTTTGTTAGATAGATAGTTGGATATGATCTTTCTTTCTTTTGCATCTTTGGAGTGATGGCTACCCAGAGAGATAGACCAACAGATAGTTTAATGAAGTTTGCATGTGTGTATGTAGCAATGCTCTCTGTGCTTTCTGCAGTGCAGGAGGTCCGGCTGGTGTGTGTGGATGTGCCATCCAACTCAGAGGCCATTGTAGGGCATGCTATGAAGTTAACCTGCATCTACTGCATGAAACGAGAGGAGATCTCTGCTGTGACCAAAGTGGATTGGTACTACATCAGTCCTGATAAAGAACTAATGCTGGTGAGGTCACCTCTTGCTTTTTTTTATACATGTCGTATGTAATAAATGAATATATGTCTGACACATAATCATCTCTCCAATACAGATCTATCAGTATGACGGTCAGCCGCAGGAGCCCAAGGACGTAAAAATGCAGTGGAAGGGCCGCCTGATGTGGAACGGCAGCAAGGACCTGCAGGACCTCTCCATTAGTATCAAAAACGTTACTTTAAATGACACTGGCACATACAATTGTGAGGTGTCCCGCTCATTTGAATTCGATTCATTCAAGCATTCTGTCACCAAGACAACCACAATCGATCTGGAGGTGAAAACGGAAGGTAAGTGAGCGTATACACCGCTAGACATTTCTCACACTGGAATTACAGTACCTTGTCTAGCAGTAATTGATCTGATTACCTCTTCTCTACAGTTTGATTTGGATGGCTGCACTGTAAGCCATTTTCAAATATGCTGTAACTTGAAAATCAGATACTACTGAGCTCAGTACAGAGTCGGTCCTTAATTACGATGTCCTGACATGTTGTTTGTGTTGTTCTAGTAATGGTGTGCTCTGTTCTTTTTTTTATTGTTATTTAAGCTTTCTTATTGGAAGGCAGGAAGTTGTTTTCAGGGCTTTATCTAAGCAACCACTTACCTCTCTATCTGTTTTGAGGGGTAATGTAAAGATTCTGGTTTGTATGCTATTCTCTGGATGCCTGAGATTGCTGAATGCAGAGTACTTCCTCTCACTTCAATCGAATATACTTTACCTAATGTATATTTGTCTATATTTAATCATGCAACCCTAATGCATCTCTATCTGTGAGTGTCTCGGTTCGCAGATAGAAACATACAACGTTGTATTTAAGGGATGGGTTTAGAGGATATTTGGAATTGCAGAACCACAAACTTACAGTACAACTCTGCTTTTACATTCCATGCCATTTAAGATCTATTCACCGCAGTGCATGAGACATACACATAAACTTTTTAGAATGTGATCACATCTTTTTTTTAACAATGATGTAAGATTTAGTAAATCTTTTTTTTTACAAATAATATTTTCTCTAAAATGTCACATGCGCTGCACTACTGTCTATGTATACACAGTGGTTCTCAACTTTAAAAAAAAAGTTTTTAAATGGATACATTATGAATATAATCAGATCGATGTGGGTGGGCTTCTGCTCTGAAAGATGAAGCTGAGAACCCCTGATCACAGTCACTCTATGTTGATCTTCATCTGACTATTTACATGCCTTATAGTATGAAATATAACTTTTGAGTCTCACTGTCCTCCAAGGGAAAGTTGACATGAAGTATTTGAGCATGTTTGTATTATTGTGTGGTTTTGTGTTTGCAATTGCATGTGAATTATTTACTGTAATAGTCTTCTAAAGGACATAAGGATATGTACCCATCTATTTCTACCAACTTACTCACTTAAAAATCACATTTACCAAATAAATTCAATTGCAAAATTGCAAGTTTCATAAATTATTTAGATGAATTCTTGCCAGCAGTCAATTCATTCTGATTACAGACATTCTATGCATGTTGTTGTAGTCTTGTGCTTGTGTTCATACAACAGTACAAAAACGGATACACAAACACACATAGAAAGTGGTTAAAATTGTTATATGAAACCAGTTGCTCACAAATGTATCACCTGGATGCAAAGCATGAATGCTCATCTCTTTGTTTTTACTAACCATTATAGCTCCTGGTGACCTAAAATAGCTTTCAACACTAATCTAGTGCATTACAGCAGTGACTTGCCCAATCATGCATTCTGCACTTTTGTCCTCATTCCTAGTACACTTGAGAGAGTGAGACTGAATTCATCACAAACATCCTTATTGGCACTGTATCTGTCTGGCAAGCCTCTTCTGATTGCTCAACTAATTATACAACATTACATCTGATATTATTTTATATTCTCAGCGAGTCAAGACATCGCAGCGCTGTACTCTGAGATAATGATGTATGTGCTCTTGGTGTTCCTCACATTCTGGTTGCTGGTGGAGATGATCTACTGCTATAGGAAGATCTCCAGATCTGACGAACAGGCACAGGACTCTGCGTGAGTATTACATTTTTATGTGAAAAAAATAATAAACATAGTTAATAATAAAAAAGAATAAAAATTGTAAACATAGTAACCAAATGTAGCAGTGATTATTTCCTTGACTTTTATTGTTTGATTAACATTAAAAACACAGACAGGAAGAATATTAGGCTGCTGTCACTTTAAAGAAATAATGCATGGATCCACACTGATATATATGCGTAATTTTTTTCCCGACTGTTCATTTTGCGGGAATAAATGTAAACACAGATATTGGATATTCCAGTTCTGTCTAAAGTGAATGCAAAGAGGCGGGCCCAAAAAATCGGATATGGACAAAAGATCAGATTTGTGCATTAAGACTTGCAGTGTAAATGCAGCCTATGTCTCTTCTTATGAGAAAAGGGTCCGTTTAAGTGCATCAAAATGTTACTTCCAGTCTCTATAGTTTACTTCATTATTGAGTGCACTCCAAGCATAATAAAAATGTAGGCGTAAGTACGGCCTGTTCGACTGCTGAATAAAACATGTTCTTACTCAGACATGACATTCATCATTATAGACTAACTTGAAAGTTCAGTCATTAGTGATGAATTTAACTCTGTATTCTGTAGGTTATTGAGTTGGATACTTGATAGACTACCATAACACACAAACACAGGCATTCACACACACATTATGTGCATTAGTGCTTTTAAAAGGGTGCATTAGTGCAACCTAATTGCATCAGTCATGTAGAGCAGATGGGAATAGGTGGTGGCACATCAGACGTACCTTTTGTTATCAGATTCCAAACTGATACTCATCGATCGCTTCCTGCTCTTTCTTTACCATACGTTTACTTGGTTGTCAGTCATTTCTTGTTGATTTGTTTGTCAGACATATGAATATGTGATTTTGCTGTTCTCACTCTGCCAGCAGAAGAAAAAATGGAGATCCCCAAACATCAGTATCTTTGAATATTCAAGAGTCATTGAGTATTATAGGGATAGCTTAGCTGAAAAATTATATTAGTGAATAATGACTTACATTTGGACTTTGTAAGGGTCTATTTGTACTTTTTGGAGCACCTGGTCACTATGAACTCTTGTTATATGGCACATTGAAAAAAATACGAACCTCATTTGGTAGCATCTACAGTACATTAAATTATTTTATTGAACGCAAAATATTACAGTATATTGAATTTAGTCCTGTCAAATCGATTAATTGCATCTAACATAAAAGTTTGTGTTAATAAAATATATATTATAGAAACACAAACTTTTATGTTGGATGCGATTGATCTGACAGCACTAAATATATTATATTATAATATTTTTTTATTATTATTTAACATCAGTGAATCAACCTAAATACACTAGATTTCCCTTCTACATTTCAGGGTTGGATTAAGTTGAAATTGCTCCTAACAAATACATGTTAACACTTTACTGTGCAAGTGCTGCATAATGATTTTTTTCAAAATGTTTAGTATTGTGTTATTGTGGGGAAAAAAACACCATACAGGTTTGGAGCAACATGATGCCATGTAAAGAAAAAAAGATGCAATTTTTATTTTTGGGTTAACTATCCCTTTAATGTGGTGATGTTAATTGTCCTGACTGCTGCTTTGCTGAAGGGACCCAAGGTGGTGCAGAAGTGCACCCAGCCTCAACTCTTAGTTTTTGCCTTTTTCTTTTGTACCCATGTGTCTACAGGACAGACTACTTAGCCATTCCCTCTGAAAATAAAGAAAACCCGGGCCCTGCTGTAACGGAATAAAAGTCTTTCACCATTACGGTATTTTTTGTACTTACCTCTCAATTAGAAAAGTCATTAGTAATTCCCCACTCATCCCGAGTAGCTGACTAGAAATCCTCCACCATCACGGTCTGTTTCGCTCTTTCCTTGTCCACATCCTCTCTTTACATCACTGGATCTCCATTCCCATCCACTCAAGCTCATACCACTCCTCTGTTCACTGCCATTACTAACCTCAGCTGATCTCTCAACATAATTCAATGAGAGGTGAAAGTACAGCAGCGGGGATGCTGAGGTCAGAGATTGTTCTCTGTGTAAACTCCTTGATGGATAGTTTTACTCTGTTTAAATTGTTTTGGAATATGAGATTGCGTAGATAGTTGTGAAATGACATGGATCCATTTTGATTTTAATTTGCACTGGTTTTTTATTTATTTATTTTATTTCTTAGAAGCAGCTTCCTACAATGTCAACTGATATGATTTTTAATTTGAGGACGACTTTTTGTTGTCGATGGGGGTTATGTAACATCCTATGGAATGTTATAGAAACATGATTTGATTAGTATGGAAATGTAGATGTTTATTCATGTGGAATAATATATTAGCTGTCTATTTGTGGTTTTGGTGTTCCATGAATATCATCATGATCATGACATGGAACCCAGCTGCAATTTATTTATAGGATTTGTGTTACAAATATACACTCTAACCAAATCTGGACATTGCTTTCTGTTTCAGGTACTGACCGGTCTTTATAGAAACCGGTTTAAAATGGAGAACAGGCACTGATATCGTTCTAACACGCTGAAAGCTGCTTTGAGAAACCAGGAGACCTGCCAGATCAAATCCCTCTCGTCTTGATAATGTGATGTGTGGAACAAACTCTTGACTGGTCCATTATCTCCCACTGTCTCAGTGGAGCTCAGCCGTAACTCGCATCTAATCTCAGACTCATGAAGATCTGTATGTGTCTGTGTCTATCCTCAACTTTTGCCTTAGTAGAGACACGAATACAGCAGCCCAGAGCTGAAGAGCTATCATACTGCCTATACGCGCACTTTTCTTAAACAGACGTCAATCATTATTGTCAGAATGCCCATGTGAGCCTTTCCCTCTTTGGTATACGCTGCTCTTAACTCTTTTGATAGAAATAGATGTAAATAAGTCTGGATTCCAATTAGACTTGGTTTTTATTGTAGTGTTTTCTATTTGCATTGTAGTATTTTTTTTATTTTTTTTATAGTGTTTTATTTAAGAAAAGAACTTTAGAGTCACACAGATTTGCCACTTTGCGATCAATAATAAGTGAAACTGTGGCAGGTAAACAACAGTAATGAGGACATACTGTGTACAGCAGTGAAAGCTCTTTGTGTGACTGAACACATGCCGTCATCTGCGTTTACATTGGTTATTGCAGACATTCTTGCAGCACTGAAGTTTACGGGTTTTAAGGGGATTCAGATTTAACTATCAGTGTCATTACATTATTCCACTGAATGCCTTGTCAACAACGGCAGTTTGTACTGAAGTCACATTGCAACCTTTTGCTATTGTTCAGTGGTGTTCAGCAGCAGTGATGGGATATACAGTAACAGTATATACCGTACCTTGAACATTTGCTTTATAATTCCACAGACTCATTTCAGATTGACTGTTGACAGCTAAGAAGTGACAAAATCTATTCAGCTGTTAAAATAACACTATGTGTTTGTATTTCCTTTTCTCCACTGTTGCTGTTATGAATATATAGATTAGTATTTTAAAGTTTTGTTATTTCCAGTGGTGCAGGCTTGACTCTCTTTTAACTTTGCATTGTTTTATATAGGTAATTTACCGCCGCACAAACACTGCACTTGCTCTACCCTGTTATAATGGAGCTTCTCATCACTTGTCAAAGCTTGTCATGTCTATTAAACCAGGCAATGCATTTAAAAACACATGTCTGAATGCTTATTATTTAGAGACATTCTCTGCCAGCCTTAACCCATGGCATATGGGTGCTAAAATATATTTATTTTAAATGAAAACTCTTAAAAAAAAGCGTGCTAGTTTTTCAATACCATAGACAATCACACTTCACTGACTATGTCATAGGATAATGCATTACTTGAAATTTGAGAAAACATACACCGTGAACAAATATTCTGCAATTACATAATATACATGTAATATGTACTTACGTTATTAAACAAATAGGGCGTGCTGTATTGTCAACAATTGGTCCCTCTGGTCTAAAAATGCTTCTTAAAAATACATGTCATCTGCTATCTCCATACTCGTTGGATCCTGCTGATACTGTACTGAAGTAGGCCTATCTGTTTCCCTCTTTCCTATATTAAAAATAACAATCGTTATGTACGGGCTTTGTTTCAATGGGATATTGGCTCCAGACCTGCTATTATATCATTTTGGAATGGCTGTGCTGATAATCTGTTATGGAATAAAATCTGAACATTTTCTAAAAAATATTTAATCACAAACAAAATCAAAGAAATTTCACTTAAACTCACTTATTACACGTGTAATTATTATCTTGTGAACAAATTTAATTGTGATATTGATACATTTTGTGCTCTACATGATGAAACATTTGATAATTTATTTTGGAGTTGTCCTCATTCAGTTTGTTTTTGGTCAGATTTCTGTTCCGGCTGAAAAATAAGAAAGCTGCAAAGTGCGTTTAAATCTATAAACGTTTTCACATTTTTGTTTAACTTATAAGTTTGTCACTTTTTGTATTTTATATTTGTTTATTTAGTTTATTCATTATACCAGAGTACTGTAGTTGTATTTCTTAAAAATCAACAAAAATAAATAAATAATTAAAATAAAAATAGTCAACAATTGGTCTTTGTCTCCCTCTGTAGTTCACACAGTGCAACTGCAGTTGACTCAAGTGGATGTTTTTCCATACTTATTCATTTTGTAATTAAAATTGAATGCAGTTCAATTCAGTGTGCTGCATGAATATGCTTGGGTCAGTCTTCAATTGGAGTAGCAAACTTGCAGCAGAATTTATTAAAAGTATTGTTAGCTACTTTTTATTTATATTTTGCCAAGCAAGGCAGTAAAATGCACGAGTTGCCGAGTTGAGATAACCTTTGACCTTTTCAAAATACCGGAGAGCAACGCAAGAGTCGTGAACATAGACAGTATAAGAAGTGGACAGAGCCATCTCATTGGAACTCAATTGAGACAAGTGAAGCCCATTTTTAGCGATTTTTTAAGACTTCCGTTCCTGACTCAAACAGAGTTTGACGACGTAGATCGTGAGCAACCCTAGACGTGAGCAACCCTTTTGTCTTCTGGTGGCTGTGGTATGAGAAATCTTCCGAAACTTGCAGAGGCGGAGAGTGTGAGTAGGAGTTGTCCATCAGCTAGGAGCAGGAGAAACTTTTGCTAGGCAAGTTATTCTGGTTAATTATTTTGTCATTTTGCCTCCACGTTTCCCCGATTGCCCGCGAGCTTCTCCTCCTGTCCATACGGTAATCTCTCTACTCTGTGCTACAGAGAGTCGGTTGGTTATGACGCAATCGTTAGCCTACTTTTATATAAAACTGCTTTTACGGGGCCATAACATAAGCTACAAGGTAATGGAGCATTTTATACATTGTCGTGTTTCTTTAGAAATAAATAATGGACAAATGGATTCTTCAAACGCCTCAAATGTAAAGTTATTCGCTGTCAAAGTGACGCCAAATTGAATGGGAGTCAATGGAAATGCTAACTCAAGTGAAGTTCTGCTACAATATGGCGGCACTTAGCCGGCTTCAACTTCGATGGATTACCCCCTTGGTCGTAAATGGTAAAAATATGTACTATTTATGATCTAGAAAATATACAACATATTATTAACCGTTTGAGTTTTGATAAATTATTTTCTTGCTGTAGCAGATGACTTAAGCGATCTAAAATAGTTGATCAGCTAAATAATAGGTCTGGATCTAACAAAAGCACTTGAACGCAACAAACTGGTAAATACCAGTTCACAAGTGGAAAATATCATATTTTCACATGAACGCACCATTATTCCACACACACCAACTCCTGTGGCTGACATTTGTAAAGTGGTCCCAGGAGACAACATCTGAAAACAAATTGATTTAGGTTCATTTTCAGGCGCTGAAGGCAAGTTGGCTTCTCTTACCTCAGAGTTGTACATTTTTATCCGATTGCCTGTCAACATTCTTTGATGTCCTTCAGGGATTTCTTATGATAGTGCTGTGCTTCCGAGAGGACGCTTCTTAAATTAAAAATGATTCTTTGTTTTGTCGGGTGGGTCAATATATAATTATGGGAGTTTTCATGTCCATGAGATTTATCTCGCAAACATGCTCACTAAAATAAAATTTTAAAAGTCTTCAGTGTTCTTCATGATCTTGTCTTTACAAATTCCATAGTTAATTTTTATGGAAATAATAATTTATTTATAAAAATTTACTAGATATCCCTAAAATGTCAACTAAATAACCGTCCGAAATGAATTACAACCACAATCTCATTACCTAAAAAAACATTTAAAGAACTTATTCAAAAACAGTTATAATTATATTATTTACATTAAGTTGAGATAATTGTGAACAATGTGTCTTTTTGGGCAATATGTCACATTTTCAATAGAAATTGACAAATTGAATATGTGTCCGAGAAGTCACTGTCATCTAAGTTACCCATAGCAAATACACCTCTCAAGGAAGAGTGTGTATTCCAAATCACATGACCTGCTCCACATGATGTCATTTCCTCCTGAAGAGAAACCTATGAAGACTCCAAGGTATGTTCTCTCTCCACATTTTCAATTATTTCACCTAAAGTAGTGCTTGGGGCAAATGTGTACTTATCATATGTCAACAATGTTACTACAATGAATTCATAAATAACTTTGAATTTCAATTTTACTCAGTTGTGCATATAATATTCAGAAGAACCTCTCTGTAAAATGCCATGTGGTGTCTGGTGCTAGGCAACCATTTTGACTTTATCCCTAAAAACAGCAAAAATGTCAACTAGGTTACCAGTCACCTATGTTACTCTGCAAAGGTAACTTAGTTGACCAAGAGTAACATAGTTGACATTCATGACATGTTCTTATAGTTTTCATGAGTTCATTTAATATTCTAATTGTACAGTAACTATAAAATACTTTGCAATAAATATTATAAAAGTATATAAACTTGTTTTCAGGTCAAAGTCAACTCAGCTGTTCCTGCATTGCACCAAGAACAACCAGAACTTGAAGTACAGTGGGACAGAGATGACATTGTTGGTCAGTGGTGTGTCATCAGATATGACGATGAGGTTTACCCTGGAACCATTGTTGAAGTGAGTGAGACACATGTTCATGTTAAGTGCATGCACAGAGTGGGACACAATCATTACTACTGGCCAATGCAAGAGGATGTGCTCAGGTTGATTCCTGCCCCACAGCACATGACATGTGAACATGTAAACAGCACGTCATGTTGAAATAAAAAGAGATGTGTGGGAAGATATTGCCAAATCATATCTTCATGGCTAAGCACACACACACACACACACACACACACACACACTAACAAACACACACTAACAAACACGTGGCACAAGCACACGGTCAAGCACACACACATACTGTATAGACACCAGCCGTGTATAGTCCAGGTGCCAGAAAGTAAAAATCCTGCCATGTTTTTGGATCTGCCTCTACATCTAGAACAGGTGTTTTCATTAATGAGCTCATCTACGTGGTAGAGGAGCTGGTTAAGGTAACACAGTCTCATCCCAAAAAGTCATATAACTGACGTCTTGGGACGTCTTTTGACCATACGTCAATATCCGCCTTTTTAGGGCCCCCTTAAACGTCGGTAGATGGCGATTCCAGGCCGTCATACAACTGACGCTTTACCTTTAACGTCAGTTAGGTGACGGGTTAGGTTTAGGGTTAGGTTTAGGTCTGGGGTAGAGTTAGGATCCAATAACCTCATCTACCGACGTTTAAGGGGGCCCTAAAAAGGCGAATATTGACGTATGGTCAAAAGACGTCCCAAAACGTCAGTTATATGACGTCTTGGGATGAGACCGGGTTGGTTAAGGCCACGTTTACACAAAGCCGGGTATTTAGCGAAACGAATATTTCCCCCTCTCCGTTTTCCAAAATAACATCGTTCACACACCCGCATAAATACGCCGTCGAGCGCCATCATAACTATGCCAAACCTAGCGTGTGTATGACACGCCAATTCATATTTCCATTTTTGCCGTGCTATCAACACGCATAATCGCTTTTCAGCGTGTTTATGAACGCCGTTGACTTAACGTTATTACTGTATATATAAATATATGACTTACCTCAACCCTGTCCCTAAACCTACCCGTCACTGGGGTTAATGGCATTTATAAGTGATTTGATTTGATTGAAAATTTATTAATCCCGGTAGGGAAACTGGTTTGCCACCAACCGTACAACCATAAACACAGTACACAACTAACAGACAAATAAATATGCATTAAAAGAATGACTAATACCTGATTATAAGACACAACTAAAAGAAATATTCAATTTCACAGTGCAAAAATAATCAAACACTAACACTATTAAAGGCCTTTTAAAGGCCTTTTAATTTGTTCATTAAAATATCTGACTGCTGCTGGGACAAAAGATCTTCTCATCTGCTCACTAGAACACCGAGGCAGAACCAATCGCTCACTAAAAGAACTTCTGAGTCCCCTAAACAAATTGTGTAGTGGATGGCCTTTTTCCCTTACCATCCTAGGAAAAAAAAGATCGCTCCCCAGATGTAGATTTACAATTTGCTTAGTTTCGCTCGGACATTTGACGGCGTGTACAGACACGTGGAATCACTCGGACATTAATGGCGTAGACATACACGCATTCACGCGGATACACACGGATAGCTGAAAATGCGTAGAGATAACACGCCACTTGACTCAAAAGTGTCGTGTATGTTTACGCAAAAGTCATGATGTCATGTTGTGGCGGCAGTGTAGGGAGAAGGATAAAGCCATGCAAGTCAATCAGAATCCTCAGAATCG